GATAAAATATACAATACTTTTTAGTGAAAATTCCATATAGCCAATTGTTGCTTTTTTTAAATATTTTTTTCTTTATTGATTTTAGAGAGAGAGAAAGGGGGAGAGAGAGATAGAAACCTCGATGAGAGAGAACATCAATTGGCCGCCTCCTGCATGCCCCCCACTGGAGATCGGGTCCACAACCTGGGCATGTGCCATGACTGGGAATCAAACTGGTGACCTTTTGGTGCATGGGTCAGTGCTCAGCCACTGAACCACACCAGCCTGGCCAATTGTTGATTTTTACATGTGTAGCCAACCTATGGCTGTAGTTAATGATGGAGTGTAGCTCCAACTTGAATGTTGATTGATGTTTTCACTTATGTTAACAAGACAGATGTGAAACAGCAAAGGTATTTGTCAGAACTTCACACAGTTTCCAGTGGTTGAGTGACTACTTGCTGAGTTGTATAACAGTTTTCAAATACTAGGGAAATATTTCCTCAATGTTTTATACTATTCACAATGTAATATCTACAGAAATGACACACTTTTAAGCTTCATCTGCATTATCGTCATTTTCTCTATTGTTTTCTTAAATCTAAGAATCAACAAAACAATAAATCAAGCCCAAATCTGTAGTTCTTATTGGTTTCTATGAGGAAAATACTCCCATCATGCCTCAGTTTAATATTCTATAGTATCTCCATATTACTTCCCTGAATACAGTTGGGAAGAGATGCCAGTAGCACATAATTATATATCTTTCCACCATTCAGAGCATTTCTCACAACAATTTTACACATATTTTATTTGACTTCATTTACTTAGTATCTATCTTGCAAATCCATAAGAGCAAAATCTGGGGTCTGTTATTTCTCTTTTGTGTTCCCAGTGCCTAGGACAGAGCTTGACACATAGGTTGGCATTCAATGAATATCTGTTAAAGAAAAAATAAAATGTTGAACTTACTATATGCCAGATACAGTCCCAAATGCTTTACATATGTTTAATTTTAAGTCTTCACCACAACCCTATGAGGTGGCATTATTATTATCTCCCTCTTACAGATGAAACCAGAAAGTGACTTAACCAAGTTGCCCAAAAGGTAAAGGGTAAAGCCAGGATTCGAACCCAGGCACTCTGGCTCCAGAGCCTGCACACTTTGTCACACTGGATTCTCTGAACATATCAGAGCCATGATGCTGACACAGAAATCTACGATTACAGCTGTGTGGCAGGCCTGAAAAGCAACCAGGTCAGATGACAGCAAGTGGAAAGAGGCAATGCATTGGAAGTGATTAATTATCTGCCAGATTTAATTTTGTAGAAAATGTTTAAAGGTACCTTACGAACTATTGGAAATTGTGAGAAGAAAGAGTTCGAAGGAGCCCGGCTGGTTTGGTTCAGCGGTTAGAGAGCCAGCCCTAGGACAGAAGGGTCGTGAGTTCGATTTCCTGTCAAGAGCATGCACCTGGGTTGCAGGTTTGATTCCCCAGCCCCAGCCAGGGTCATGCAGAAGGCAACCAATCGCTGTGTCTCTCTCACTTCAATGTTTCTCTCTCTCCCATACTCCATCTCTTCCACTCTATCTAAAAATTAATGGAAAAATATTCTCGGGTGAGGATTAACAAAAAAAAGAGTCCCAAAGAAAATTCTTTGCAAATGACAAAATGAGGCAATTATATGCTCCAGGAAAACAGGAGTTGAATGAGAAAGGAAATGTTACCATAGTACACTACTTGACTCAGCAAAGAACAATATTTACCTAATTATGATAATGAAAACAATGGATACAAATTTAATCAAAAAAGTCGTGATCCTGCTATACTGGAAAGGAAAAGAGAAGAGAACAAAGACCCACATCTATTAAACAGAAAGCTAATGACTTTTTTACAAATCATGAATCAAGCAGTAGATGTACATATGGAGGTAAATGCAGAAGAAACATAAAATGCTGTGATTGCCTTCCAGAGAGCTGAAGACTATTGGTTGTTGCTGTTGTTGTTGTCATATGTCATTGGTCACTGACTTGCTAATTCCTGGGCATATATTAGTTTGATAAAAATGAAATCAAAACAAGAAGTAGAATTTTGTCCATAATATTGTCAAAGATTCAAAACAATAATGCCAGTGTTGTCAAGACAAACAAAAATGGGCCCTCTCATAAACCAACCAATGAAACTTTCGTTTGGTGTATCTCTGGAAGATTGTTATTTTGTAAAAAAAAGAAAGCCATAAAAAATGTTGTTTGACCCAGCATTTCCTCTTAATGGAATTTATCCTCCCAAGAAAAATATGTACAAAAACTAAGTCATATTTTATTACAGCAAAACACAAAGGAATTATACAAATATCTAACATTAGAGCCTCAGTTTTTAAAAATCATGGTAGAGCTACATGAAGAACACTAGTTTAATAACTTAGAATTATGTTATTATATTAACCTGCAAATATATTTATGAATATTGAGAAAAATAAAAAGCTGATAGCAAAATACTCTGATTTTACTCCTCTCCCATAAAAGTATACATTTGCACTAAAATGTTTTAAAATACATGGAACTCAGTGGTTACTGCCAGATGATGGGATTATGGGTAGTATTTATTTAATTTTCTTATCCCCATTTTATAATTTCAATATTAGGTTTAAATGTTTAGAAATCATACTTCAAACAAAACATATTTCTCATTAAAGATTAAAGATTCGAGGAGATATAAAAAACAAGTAAAAATGTGTTATCTATGAGAGCAAACACAAAAACTAAACTTCTTTGATGTAAAATTACAGGTATGAAAAATAATCTACATTTGTAAAACGTAAAGGATGTTGCATTAAAGTTGATATATGCCTTGCTTATAAAATTCGTAATATTAAAACTAAGGCTTATACAAGCTTTTTGTTTGTTAACTTTCTATTATGAAATGTTTCATTCATGTACTCTATACATAGATTTAACAATTGTTAAGGTTTTCCTTAACAAGGTAAAAGAAATTATCCTTTTAAGAGTAGGAATTAAACTCAAAGACCTTATCTAGCTCAAGAAATGGAACATTTATCAGCGTCACTAATCATCAGGGAAATGCAAATAAAAAGCACTTATTATATTGGGTATGATAAAAAATACATGAGCTAGAAAATGCCAGGAAGCGAAGAAAAGGGAACATTTGTGCACTATTGGTGGGAATGTAAACTGGTGCAGCCACTATGGAAAACAGTATAGTTTCCTCAAGAAAATTAGACAGACCACCATTTGACCTAGCAATCCTACGTCTGAGTATGTCCCCAAAGGAAACAAAGTCGTTCTCTAAAGAGATAGCTGCACTCCCATGTTCTCAGCAGCGTCATTCACACAGCCAAGGTATGGAAACCCAGGTGTCCAGCAACAGATGCCTGGGTGAAGAAAAAATGGGAAATATATACAGTGGAATATTATTCAGCCTTTAAAAATGGAAATTCTGTTATTTGTGACAACGTGGATGAACTGGAAGGTATCCGTTATACTAAGTAAAATCAGCCAGACAGAGAAAGACAGATGCTGCAAGGCATCACTTATATTGAACTGAGAGCAATAGAATAGAAAAGTGGACACCAGGGGCTGTGGGTGGGGGTGGGGGTGGAAAGAGGAACAGGTAGGTAAAAGGGGACAATTTTCAGTGATAAGAAATATGAAGTCTGAGGGTCTAACATTTAACATGGTATCTATAGTTAATAACACTATACTGTATAATTGAAATTTGCTGAGAGTAGACTATAAATGCTCTCCCCCCTTTCCCAACAAAAGATAAACATGTGAAGTGATGGATGTGTTAATTAACTCCACGGGGGGCGGGGGGGCAGATTCTTAAACAATGTATTGGTATATAAATTTATCATACTGCACACTTAAATATCTTACAATTTTATTTGTCGATTATACCTCATTAAGGGGGGAAGCAATAAACCACAGAACTTACATGCATGTATGCGTAAACAATGGACGTAGACAACAAAGCTGGGGATGGGGCGGGGGAGATGGGAGGAGGGTGTCAGTGAGGGAAAAAGGGAAACATCTGCAACAAAGACAAATTAATAAAAAGGCTGAAAATATAAAAGAAAAGGAACATTAAAATGCCATGTCCCGTGATACTTAGAATATTAAACTCTCTAAAGCATTAATTCATTTCTTACATTTTTATGTTTAAAAAACATGCATTTCTTACATTTTTATGTTTAAAAAACATGCATTGCTTACATTTTTATGTTTAAAAAATATGCATTTCTTACATTTTTATGTTCAAAAAACATGCATTTCTTACATTTTTATGTTTAAAAAACATGCATTTCTTACATTTTTATTTTTATTTATTTTTATTTTTTAATTAATTAATTAATTTTTGTTACAGATGTTTCTCCTTGTCCCCCCACTGAAACCCCCCTCCCTCCCCAACCTGTCCCCAGCTTTGTTGTCCATGTCCATTGTTCATGCATACATGCATATAAGTTCTGTGGTTTATCTCTCCCTGCAATCCCCTCTTCTGGGGATTGTCAGTCTGTACCCTACTTCCATGTCTCAGCTTCTACCCCATTCCCCAGACTGTTATGTTCATTATATTCCACAAATAAGTGAGATCATGTGATATTTGTCTTTCTCTGCTTGGCTTGTTTCACTTAGGATAATACTCTCCAGGTCCCTCCATGTCATCTCAAAGGATAAGAGATCTTTCTTTCTTACAGCTGCATAGTACTCCATTGTGTATATGTACCACTGCTTTTTTATCCATTCCTCTACTGATGGACATTTGGGCTGTTTCCAGATCTTAGCTATTGTAAATAATGGTGCTATGAACTTGGGGGTACATATATTCTTTCTGATTGGTGTTTCAGGCTTCTTAGGGTATATTCCTAGAAGTGGGATCACTGGGTCAAATGGCAGTCAACATTTTTATTTTTAAAATTCTCATTTCTGCATAATTGGAATAACCAGTTATTGTAATATAAAGACTTATTCTAATTCATGGTATTGTCTGTTTGCTTTTTAGGTACTAGCAAAGGCCAAACGCCTTACTCAACAACGTCTCTACCACCGCCTCCGCCGCCCCACCCAGCCAGCCAGCCGCCATTGCCAGCGTCTCACCCAACACAACCGCCAGTCCCAAGTCTGCCTCCCAGGAACATCAAGCCTCCTTTAGATCTAAAGTAAGCAAAGGCTTGTCTTGTCATTTCTTTGTCAGTCTCTTGTCATAGATTTCCAAACTGCACTTGGCTGGATGCTAAGGATTCCGGGGTAAAATGCTGGGGCCACAAAGGTAGACAGCTAGAGGGAGGGAGAACATCTAAGCAGGCAGCTCTCAGACCTCCAGACCCTTGAGCAACCCTGTTTATCTGTGTTTACAGTGGGTTCCTCCTTAAGCATTCATTGGAAGAAAATTTCTACGGCCCCTTTTAAGACGCTGAAGCATTCTTCAGGTCAGCACCCACCGTGTCTTTCCCCATCATCTTCACCACCACCACCACCACCACCACCACCATCACCACCACCACCACCACCGCCACCATGGTCACCACCACCACCATTACCACCATCACCACCACCACAACTACCATATTTTATTGACAGCCCATGCTTGCTAGGCATTTTAAATATATAACCCCTATCATCTTTATTTTTTATCCTCACCCGAGGACATTTTTCCATTTTTTATTTAGATAGAGTGGGAGGGGGAGAGAGAGAGAGAAACATCGACGTGAAAGGGACACATTGAGTGGTTGCCACCTGCACAACCCAACCAGGGCCAGGGACAAACTGCAACCGAGGTGCGTGCCCTTAGCAGGAACCGAACCCAGGTCTCTCTGGACCGTAAGCCAATGCTCTACCGCTGAGCCAAACCAGCCAGGGCTGTAACCCCTATCATCTTAATGGATGACTAGTGTTATCCTCATTTCACAGGTGAGGAAATAGAACTCTACAGAAGCTAAATAGCTTCTCCAAGGTCACATAAGAATGGAGTAGACATTTGAGCCAATGTCAGTCTGAGTCCAAAGTAAAGCAGGTTTTCTCTCACCCTTCAGATTTTGGGCTGTTTTAAAAACCTAGGAAATTTTTTTGAAGCTTAAGTTTTCTTAGATGGTACTTTAGAAATGTCAAAACTATATGGGTTGCTATATGGGTTCTTTACCCACAACTTACCGGAATAGTTGGTTGAGGAAAAAGCAAGTGGAAGATTGGAATAGAATGAAATGTTGTTGTTGTTTAAAAAAGAAATATTCAAAGAGTGGCAAGTAAGGCTAGACTTTCCCTTTCTTCTTCCAGAAAACTGCTTGCCATGATTCTCTTTTGCCACAAATAAGTAATATCCCCAAATATATAGCTGCAACTTGGTTTTCCTTCACTTCAGTCCCCTATCGGAGAGATGTTCTTAACATTAAAGTCTTAATATCTGTAATCCACATAATAGAATCTGTTAGTAATAATATCTGATTCGCAGCTTTCTTTAACTGTTGATTACAATTTAGAGCAGGGGTTGAAACATGCTGGCCAAGGATAGCCTCCAATATGTTTGACTTCATTATGCTTTTGGGGGGATTTAAAGGCAGTTTAGTGGCTATTATCTAATACATGGCCCATATTATACATTTATGTCAGCTGCATACCCTTCCGAACAGTAGAGTTTATAAATTCTAATTTAAAGTCTCTAATATCCCATGATATCTAGCTACCGAATAAGACTGTAAGTCATCTACCTGCTAACATATAAATGCTAAATAAATATTAGTTTAATTTAAATAACTAATTAATATGTGTTCTTTTATTTTTTAATCCTCACCCAAGGATATTCTTCCATTTATCTTCAGACAGATTGGGAGTGAGGGAGAGAGAGAGAAGCATCGATGTGAGAGAGACACAGCTACTGATTGCCCTCCCGCACAACCCCGACCAGGGCCGGGGATGAACCGCAACCGAGGTACATGCCCTTGACCAGAATCGAATCCATGACTCTTTGGTCTGTGGGCCGAGATTCTAACTGCTGAGCCAAACCAGCCAGGGCTAATGTGTGTTCTTAAGTACACCTGATTTCTTCCCTGGCTGGTTGCTCAGCGGTTAGAGTGTCGGCCCCGGACCAATGAGTCAAGGGTTTGATTCCAGTCAAGGGCATGCACCTCAGTTCGGCCCTGGCCCTGGTCAGGGTCCTGCGGGAGGGCAACTAGTAGATGTGTCTCTCTCACATCGATGCTTCTCTCTCTCTCCCTCACTCCTAATCTGTCTGAAGATAAATGGAAGAATATCCTCAGGTGAGGATTAAAAAATAATAATACACTTGATTTCTGTGTAAATTATTTTCCTTTCACAGTATTAATCCTGTTTCTTTTTCCTAATTTCTTCCCTCCTTGATCAATTTAACCCACTCGATTTTGAACTCAGTACTTTGAATGTTGTAATGTGACCCTGTCGCAGCTACTGTCTCCAGCCAGGTTCAAGGTCCTGTGTAATTCCAGCGGAAGTTGTAATACACACCTTGAGCAGGAATTCCTGAGCATTTATAAAACATGAAGACTGATACCTGGCAGTTTGATTGAAGAAATGTGAGGAGGAGGAGGAGTATTTGGCAATATTCCTGCTGTTTGGGGACCCCCAAGGCCACCCATATGTTTGATGATTCATTGAAAGGACTCACAGGGCTCACCAGAGAGAGTTTATCACAGTCACTCTCGCTTCTAAGGCGGGGAACAGACATGCTCACTGTGCTCCTCCTCCAGCTATGAAAATGCAATGCATGTGACGTTGCTCCCCCAGAAAGCCTGTTAGAGACAAGTTTTTATTAAAAGCTACTCACATATGCACCTGCTACCCGCAACTGCCAAAGTACCACACTCCTAGGAAAAAAGCCCATGTGCATCGTAAGTCACATTGTTGGTACAGGGTAGGCACTCTTATCAATTCGGCAGCTTTTCATCAGTGCAGAGAATTCTTTAGAAGCTGTGTTCCAAATACAAGCCAAGAGCCAACCTTGGGAGCAGATTTTTCTAAAAATAGAAGTCGCAAGCCTCTGTGTTAACCTACTGTCTAAAATTCGTTATGATAGGTTTGGGGAGTAAAAAGCTGTAGAAGGAAGAAAGGATTTCAAAAACAGTCTTGTAGCCTGTCCGATGACTGCAGAAAGATGCTGGGAATTCTTGCAAAGTTGGAAAAGGTCTGCCGACCAGCCTGGCCCAATTTCTTGTTTGATGAAAACAATAGCGAAAACCACCAATTATAATAAACTGTAGCTTACTCCTGTTTCCATCCTATTAAGGACGTCTAATTAGAAACTCTGATTCATCTAAGAAATTCCAACGCCACAAAAAAACACACTCTCAGGAGAAAGATGGTCAGAAACAAGAGGCTTAGATGTTATGTTGCTAAACTATAATCAGAGTCTCTGCAAGGTGATTGTCCGGTGGAGAGAATAGAGGAATTGAAAGCGAAAGGCTATCTGTAAGATAATATTTTTTCAAAAGTAAAATGTGGTGTATAGTGAAAACGTCCTGGTTCTCATTAGACAGCTGAAGTAAATTCCAAAATGAAGAAAGATCTGGGTTAGAAATTTTCCCCGAAGTAGAGGAAGCTAGATAAGACCCAAAGAGGAAATGAAAGCATGGGTCTTGGTAGTCTGGCTCAACTTTTTATATTTAATGTGAAAGGGAACTGCATGGGATGCTCTTTAAGTCCAATTGTGAAAGGGGTGCTCTGCTTTTCTTCACATCGCCACCCCTCAAAACCCACGCCTGGGTGTGGCTCGGGTGCGCCCCGCTGGCCGGCGGATGCCATTCCGCCCCTCTCCCATCGACAGCCACCCTCAGCTGAAGATCTCATCGATTATTTGACATTCACTCAACAATTCCTTTTTAAGCCACTATTTTGTGCCTTTATAATAAGAGTTTAGGAAGTAGTGAGTAAAACCAAGACCCCTGCCCACATAAAACAGGGGCAAGGGAACGAAGGAATAAAATAAAAAGCAGTAAAGATATAGTACATCAGGGGACATTAAGTGCTGTAGGAGAAAATAGAAAGAGAAGACTTCCCGGAACCAGGGACTAGAGCACCTGGACAGATGCTCAGGTGAGAGGCTGGCTTTCCAGAGGAATAGGGACCAGGAAGGCTCACAGTTCTCCCGGAGTCTGCATTGCCTAAGGCAGGAAGACAGGCCTCTCCTTGGGATCCAGGAGCGAGTGGAGACAGGGGGCCTTTATCCCCCGCCCACTCTCCAGAAGTCGCTTGTAATTATCTCCTTCAGGTCATGAGAAAGGAAAAGATTGAAGGCAGGTAAAAATTAGGAATAATAAAGAGCTATAAAAATAAAGTCGTGGAGGCCAAAATTATATTGTATTTTAAATTGTATTGTTTCCCCACCTAGTGGTGAGAAATCAGCTTGTCAGACGTTCTGCTGATTTACTCAGACATTTGGAGAGGCATTGATATGGGTCAAAAGAGCATATTTATCACTAATGTTCAAATCAACATCTTCCGTGTCACACGCTTTTTATGCTACTTTTAAAAATGTGCTATGATTTTAACAGCACAACTAATTGTTCACATGAAAACAGAACCAATGGTTGACTCTTTTGGTATACAAAACAAACTGCATGGTTATTAATAGTAATGAGACAGGACAAGTGAGGTAATTAGAAATAACAAAGAATGGGAAGTGACCGAGGTTGGGAAAGGAAAGGTTAAATAGTTCTTTTCCCTGGTTTTTGTTTGGTTTGGTTTTGGATTTGGGGGCTCTAAAATTTGAGGAAAAGTAAGAATTTACCATCATAAGCTTTGTATTCATTACAAATGCTTTAAATTCTCCCGGATTTAAGACTGGCCAGATGGCCGTGCACTGCCACTGCCTTTGGAGAATGTGGCTTCCCCACTCGGAGCTGTATCATTCCTCACGCCGTGGACGTGGTACGGGAAGACACGTCCCCGAGGAAAGTTCGCAGCATTTCATCCTAGTGGGCAGGTGCAGGACAGCGTCACGTGTGTCACTTAGATTTCCTCCTCCTTTGAAAAACAACAACAAAAACCAACCCGAACTGACAATTAAAAGGGAAAGTCATGAATAAAAGCCACGAGTAGCGAATAAGGCTTAAAGGGCAACAGCTTCACGTCCTTAAAAGTCAGGAAATAAGCTCTAATACTTTCCAAAAATGCCAGTCATGACGACGGCCATGACACAGCTTGTATCCTGCCTGTTTAATTCTGCTTGCTGTAGCCTGACAACACAGAACTCTGGTGGACGCCTCTTGACGAGACGTGCTATTATCACAGCTGATAAGCACCCTTTTCTCTCCTTCACCCCCTCCCTCTGTTTAGTTTTCTAGGACTTTGCCTCTTTATCTCTCTGTGGAGCTTTTCTCAATATCGGGAGCACTTCTTCGGGGTGATTGGTGACACTTTGACCTGGATTTTCTCATGACATTCATGTAGTTCTCCTCATTATTTTCCCTTTGACTCTTCACCAGCATTCCTGTTCTTATCACTATTCCTGATTTGTTGAATATTTCCATGTTATCCATTTGTGAATTCAGACCTAGATAAAATAAACTAAGATTTACATGCTGTAATGTTGGGTCCATGAACAAATGTATGCATGCAAACATTGTCTACAAGTATTAAATGGTTTGCATAACGTGTAGACACATGAATAGGAATTTGATATGCAGATAGCCTTCATTTTGCTAGTATCTCTTATTTATCTAAGTGTTTTAGGAATTAAACTATATGTCTAGTAGTATTTTTGCCTTAATATTCTTCACAAATGATAATAAGTAATTCACTTAAGTAATGAAAGTTATTTAGTTTCTTAGTATTACTAAAACATCATTAATGCATCAGAAAAAAAGTCCTGTGTATGACAATAATGATTCCTACAGCATTCTAAAAATGACGGTCATAATAATAAATTAACTCACAGAGTGACAACCTCTTTTTTCACGGGGTTTATGGTCTTAGTAGGAAGAGTGACATGCATCAGTTTCTCTGTAATTATGGTAATATAGAATAATCACTATAATGGACCAATGTATGACATAGAAGATGCAACTACATGGGCTTAGGAGAGTCAGGGATAACTTCTCAGAAGAGGGAGTGTTTAAGGAGAAGCTTAAAAATTAGGAAGGGCCACCAGCAGGGGGATGAGGGGGGACACAGCAGGGCCAAGCATGGAAGAGCAAGACACCAGAGAGTGTTCAGAGTAAATCAGTTCTCTATTAATACATGAAAAGAAAATAATGGAAAAAGAGGAAATATGATAAATAAAACTGCAAAAGAACAGGGATAGTAAAAACCTTATATACCATGAAAAGGGCTATAGATTTGATTCTGCAGAATGTCAATATTTTAATGTCTAAGGTATTTATATCTTGTGTTTTTGTTGTGTGTTTTTTTTATCCTCACCCGAGGACATTTTTCCATTTTTTGTTCAGATAGAGCGAGAGGGAGAGAGAGGAAGAGAGAGAGAGAGAAACATCGATGTGAAGGGACACATCGAGTGGCTGCCACCCGCACGACCAACCAGGGCCGGGGACAAACTGCAACCGAGGTACGTGCCCTTAGCGGGAACCGAACCCGGGTCTCTCTGTACCGCAGGCCGGCGCTCCAACCGCTGAGCCAAACCGGCCAGGGCTATATCTTGTGTTGTAATTAATATTCAATTCATTATAGTTTATGCAAAGGCCTAGTTTATTTTAAGTACTTAAATTTCTATAATATAACTTGCTGTCCTATTTTTACATCTAGTGAGTTTTATTTAAGTAACTATTTTTAGTGGGATCTTTCATTAATGATTGGACAACTTCTTTCAAATCATATATAGTTAATTGGCTTACATGTTTTACATTGTATGTATAAATTTATATGTTGAATTTTTTAGCATTCAAATACCTGACTGAACAAATTTAATAACTCTTCTAAGCGCCCAGCTGCTGTGGCTCTGTGGTTGAGCGTCAACCCATGCACCAAGAGGGCGCCAGTTCAATTCCCAGTCAGAGCACATGCCCAGGTTGTGGGCCTGATCCCCAGTGAGAGGCATGCAGGAGGCTGCCAATCAGTGTTCTCTCTCATTAATGTTTCTATCCCTCTCTCCCTCTCCCTTCCTTTCTCTCTAAAAATCAATAAAGAAAAAAAAATTAGTAACTCTACTAAGCAAAACCCTTTCAAGAACTTAAATAATTCTTAATAATCTGTTAAACCAATCTAGTCCTCTAAAATATTCCAGTTTCATTTGCAATTGAATCTTTCTTATACTTTTTAGGAAGCATATTTATTTTGAAAAAAAAATGTAAGCATATAATAGGCAGGGAGAATAGTATAATGAACTCCCATGACCCTATAACCCATTTCAACAATTATACATTCATTACCAGTCTTTTTTCTTTTAATCCTCACCTGAGGATATTTTTCCATTGATCATCAGATAGAGTGGGAGGGAGGGAGAAAGAGAGAGAGAGAGAGAAACATGGAAGCCAGAAAGACACATCAACTGGTTGCCTCCCACACAACCTGACCAAGGCTTGGATGAACAGCAGCTGAGGTATATGCCTTTGACCGGAATCAAACCCATAACTTATTGGTCCACGGGCCGACGTGCTAACCTCTGAGCCAAACTGACCAGGGCTCATTACCAGTCTTATTTCATCTAAATCCCTACCCATCTATCTCTCTTCTCATATTATTTTGAAATTAATAACCTGCTAAAATATGAATTTTACCAAAATTAAGATAATATGTGAAGCTTTGCAGGGTATTTGAGACCATTCAGAGACAGATGAAGAGTAAAAAGAATTAAGGAAGCCAAGACCAGAATACAAGTGAACATCATCACTTAAAGAGGAAATCAGGGGGAAATAAACCCACAAAGGAAATTGTGGGATAGTGGTCAGACAGACAAGCATTCAGAAAGGGTAGATTTGTCATTGAAACAAAAGAAACTCAAGGAAGGCAAAATGGCCAATACTGTTAAGGGCCACAAAGCAATCAATCGAGATGCAGCCTGGAAGGTGTCCAGTGGATTTGGTACTTGAGTCTTTTAAGAGTAGTTTCAGGAAGGATTGGCAATAGAAGCCAGATTGTTGTCATGAAGAAATGAAAGGGAGGAGAGTGAGTGAAGTCAGTGATGACAGACATCTTTTTTACTTTGGCTGGAAAAGGCAAGATTATCTTGTGGTAGTGTAGAGGATTTAGAAAGGCAAAGAGAAGTGTTTGTTCTTTATAAATGAGAGTCACTTGGGCTGAAGAAGAAAAAAAGAGAGAGATTTAGAGATGGTTAATAAAAGAAGAGGAGAAACAATAATAATAATAATAATAGAAATAATATCACGATGCACAGAAGAAAAGGGATAAAAGGATTAAAATCACTGAGGATTCGGATGGGATTCAGAACATGGTTGGAAAGAATTTTAGTAGGGAGAAGGTAAGGATGCGTATAACTGTAGGTAAGTTTTTGGGTTAAAATAATGTATTTCTTAAGAGAATTCACACCCAATAACTGCTATTTGATCAGTGAAATAAGAAATAAGACATCTGATTATAGAGGAGAGAAGAGGAATAGGAGATTTGGGGAAAGTGGTGAAGGTTTTGAATAGCCATTGAGACAGATGATGCAAGAGAGGGTTGACCAGAAAACACACACACACACACACACACACACACACATACACAAAACATGTAATGAGATTGTAGAAGAGTGTAGAGAGGGTACAATTGAGATTGAATCCCAATTTGTAATCTCTGGAATCAATAAAATTACAATTTTCTCCAGCTATGCTAATCAACCTGAAAATAGAGATAGAAGATATAGATGGTTCCATAACTCATGAGGGATTTGCCAGACCCAGGTATTAGTAACTGTTCAGAGCAGATGGAGTGAAGTGGTTTGCAATGAAGCACGTTGGAGTTCAAGCCACAAATGACGGGAGCAAAGCCATGTGGGGAACCTTTGGAAAAGAGGAAGGATTGGAACTAATTCTCTTGGGTACCTATATTATAAAGCCAATAAAATGCCTTCAGAATCCCAGCACTGAATTAGTGATATAATGCTGTTTTAACAACAACAAAACTACTGCTGCCCTGAAGCAATGGCTTCATTGTGTGTGTTCACTGTGAATGGACCGTCCGTGCTCAAGCTCCCTGGTTCTCCATTTTTTGCATCAGTAGCGGCATAAATATAGGGCTAAAGCCTATTCTAATGCCTTCTGAAGTTTTACACCAGAGCAGATACTAAAAAGAAGAGAATAATTTTTTAAAATATCCCTTTACTGTTATTTATCTTTTTATTACAAGGTGAGCATCTATTTGTTCCATGTTCACTTTTCTTCCTTCTTTCCAGAAGCATTCTCAGTGATGAAAACCAAGATGGTGTCATGCATTTGGATGGTAAGGGGCAAAAAGATGTTTTATTTGTCTTTCTGTTACCTCGAATTACAGAAGTTTAAGTTGATCACTCCCATACCATTATTAATGGGTCATCATCACCATGGATCCATACAAGACCCCTCTCTGGTTTTATTTATTTATTCATTTCATCTCCATGATCCACTCCCTTTTCTCTCTTCCCCTTACCAGAGACAAATAGTCTAATGTATTTAATGTGTATATGTCTGTACATATTCATTGCATACTGTTGTATGTGTATCTATATTTCAGTTTACATGAACACTGTGTTAGCGCTCACTTTGATTTTTTTTTCACACTCAGCAGCATGTGTTGTGGGAGATGCATCCATGTTGCTATATGTACCATATTTAATTTGTTGCTGTTAACCACAGCACAAGTGTTCTATGTTAAGTACTCCATGGTGTGCATCCTATGCATTCACACTTTACCTCCAAATCACTAGTACCGCAAATAATGATTCAGTGCACCTCTTGCCCCCATGTGGACCTCGGAGAGGCTTCTGTTAGCATGTATACATCCAGCATATTCATTCTGACTGAGTAGGAGTGCATCTGGGTATATTCCCATCGGCAGAGCAGGAGGGTCCAAGACGCCGACCTTTCACCAGTACATGGTATGAGAATCATTCAGCTTTCCAATTGCTTCCGGTCTGATGTGTAAGATGATATTTCATCTTTGTCTCGCTGCTTATTGTTGAGTCCAAACACTTCATTTGTGTTTTAACCTTTGTATTGCCTCTTCTGGAAGTTGTCAGTTTATATCCTTTGACCATTTTTTTCTTGGGGTTGATGTTCTTTTCTGGTTGACGTGTAGGAGGAGGAGGAGTTTCTTGTATTCCCGATATTAATCCCATGGCAGTTGCAGACACTGCAAATACATGCACTCATCCTGTTCATTGTCTAACTTAATCTGTGCTGTCTCTTACTGAACATAATAAATATTAATACAATAAAAATTATTCATTTTTATCTTACAATGTATGCTTAACAAGTTTTAGTGAAGAAGTCCTATTCTTAGGAAATAAAAAATTATTATTTTTTTCTTCTATGAACTTTATCCCTTGTAGTTAGATCTTTAACCTCTTTTCAATCCACCTTTGAGGAATTAGTAGAAATCCAGATTTGTAGCCTCATGCATGGAGCCTGTTTTCCCATTACCATACTATGAAATCCACCCTGTTCTCATTAATTCGTAATGCCACCTTTATACCATATCAACTGTGTGTGTGTGTGTGTGTGTGTGCATTACACGTGTGTCTATGTAAGTGTGAGTATCTGTCTCTGAGTTCTCTATTCCACTGGTCTATCTGTTTCTATACCAACACCACATTGTTTTTATTATTGTTGTTTTAATTATGTCTTAATATCTGGTAATTAGCTGATATTACTGAATACTTGATCAGTAAAATATTATGTTTAAAAAAATCTAATTAACTTAATCTGTTTGATATATGAAAGTGAATCATTGGGAACAAGTAAATCAAAAAGTGCAAGTTAAAAAGGAAGGAGTAAAAGCTAATTGTGATTTTCTGATAATACCTTTGCTCCAGGCAAGCACACAGAATCAAATGTGTACACCTTTCATCAAGAGAATAAAGGGTGTCTTCAATATCTTATGAAAGCCAATGAAATGACTCAATAATTAAATTATGAGAATCAAAAAGCCATAGTAAGGATCTAAACCACATAGTCTACTTTGTACTTCTATATCTCTGCTAAAACATAAGTGTTGTTAGATTATGAACTATCTGGAATATTATACCTAGTACCGTGTATTAAAGTGCTTCTTAATTACAGTATGTTCAATTTGATTCTTTTTTTAACCCCTTTAGGTGCTGGGAATCTAGATGAGGTCAGTTTTTTTCCCTTCCAATATTATATTGCTGTAACTGGAATATTTAACAATCATTATGATTAATGTTCTATTGGTATAAACCAACAAATGAAAAGTCTTATGAGTAAAGATGATATTTTTTCATTTATGATCTTAGTTCATCTAAAATGCTTGAGACATTAAATATGCATCATCACTTCGACTTGTAGTTATTTGGTGGCACTAGACACGAACTTAAGTCTGGCTGTACATCTGAATTATATAGCAGGACATGAAGTGAAATCTTTTGGGGTTTACTTTCATAATCTATCTCTAAAAAGGAAAATAAATATTTTAAACAAGCCAAATTCAACTACGCTTAAATTCAGGCTTGTTTAACTAAGTACTTGATCTATGTAATATGGGTATGCTCCCTTTTCGAATAATTAAAATTAATCATTATTCATGTTTTCTTGACAGGAAGAAAGTGAAGGAGAAACATATGAAGACATGTATGAGTTACCTTTTTTTTTTTTTTTGCCATGACATTTTGCTTCTAAGATGAATACAACCTTTTGTAGGAGGGAGGGTGGGTGGATATTAAACCCGGGGTGGGGGTGGGGGGCTTTATTGCTCTAATGACTAACATATAATGGTAACCTTTATTTTAATACAAAGGACTAAAGATTCTTTTCTTGTCTGAGGGTATCACAGAGAACTGTTAAAATGCTGTTGTGTGAGAGACTACAACAGCCTGTAGATAGACCACTTGTGTGCGCTCTTGTACCCGTGAGTTCATGGATGTTGGGGGATGGGGGCGGGGAGGAGATTGATTCTATTCATGCTGACAAGCAGCAAGAACAGGGCCTTTACAAACTGTGTCTTCCACTTGTTGGCACAAGCTGTGAGGGAAAGCAGAGCCTTTGGGAGGATCCCTCGTTTGGATGCCTCCTGCTGGCTTTGGGAACAATCTCGCACATCTAGTAATGTTGGCTTTTCACCTTGATCGAGACTTCAGATACTGTCTTCTGTGGGTAGACACCTCTCTAGTTGGTGAGACTTATCACATCAATACTGCAGCTATTGAAACAACCTGACAATATTTATCCACAGAGAGACATCCAAAGAACGGGAGAAGAAAAGGGAAAAGGAGGAAAGAAAGAGATTAGAGCTGGAGAAAAAGGAACAGAAGGAGAGAGAAAAGAAAGAACAAGAGATAAAGAAGAAATTTAAAGTAAGAGTTTGCTTGCTGATAGGTGGAAAAGAGTAACCTCTTTTTATAATTTTCACACAAAACGGACTCCATTCTTGAAACCTTACATGGTTGGAGAGTAACTTAATTATTGTTTTCTAAGGAGTAACTATCCTTACAACATATATATAGTCTAATATGCTCCTTTATCCCTATACTGAAAATTTAATATGATAAAATTCAAATAAAATATGGTGGCTTATAATTAGTGGGCACCCAACAAATTATAAATTTGTTCACTGAGTGAATGAATACTCTGTTACTCAAATCCACTGTAGTTCTCCTCGTTACACACGTCACATTAACCTACTTATGCCTGCGCTTTGGACCACACACATCCCTGGGGCATCTATTATAGTGATGCAAGGGGCACAGGTGCCTCGGGACGAACCAGACCTGTCTCAGAATAAAGTTGCTATGAGCTACTCTAACTGCCAGCGTCTAGCCCTGACTTACATTTTGCCTGGACTTTAAGCCTGTGGACACGCTGGCTCCTGATTCCTGCCATTTCTAGGCCCCTTCATCTCCCTGGATTTCTGACCTCTGTCTCCTCCGATCTCTGATTTCTAATTGTGTGACATTTTACTGCCACTAACACTAGACGCAGGTTATCTTCTCTTGGCTACACCATCTCTGATGACATGGCCCCTGTGGGTCTGGTATATCAGTTCTATAGAGTGAGTTACAGAACGATTCTTTACTTTAGAAAGGGTTCCTATCATGTTCTTGAAACATTAGTTCCCCTGAAACATTCACTAGATAGTTTGAATTATAAAAATTTGATGTGTCTATAACTTCACAGTATATTTATTATATTGAAACAAGAGCCCAACAGCATGGTGCAGGGAAAATGTAAAAATTCCAGCTATCATGGGAGTTATGAGATCATGAGTATATGACTAAGCTTCTCTGAACCCTGGATTCTTACTCTTTAAGGTGAAAATAAACGATACCTCTCCTGAAAGTTCGTGTAATTAAATAAAATAATGTACCTAAAACACTTGTATCTATTATAGGTTCCCATTAAATTTTGAAAACTCTTCCTATATATAAGTCAAATTAGGATTACAATGTGAATATTAAAGCATTTAACTCTTACAGAATGTATGGCTACTAACATTGATGTTTTTCAAGTGGAAAATATGAAAAAATAATTTCTTAAATAAACACATTTTATGAAGAGATGGTTTATAGTTTTGAAGGAATTATGTGATGTTCTTCTCATGTTGCTTTTGGAGATATCAATTTTGCATTGTTTCACTTGTTCCTTCAATTAACATTTTTTTGTAAGAAAAATTCAGTGTGTGGGAATCATACCACTAAATATGAACTCAAATGTATCAAGACTAGGACTTCACAGCTATATTTCTTCTATAAAATGTTAATAGATATTAAGGAAAATAAATTAATATAAGAACTATTACATAGTACCATATTTCCTTAATTCTAAGACATAAAATATTTTACATTTTAAAATTCTGAAATTAGGATACGTCCTGACATTAGTGGCAGATCATAACTTAAATTAAGGTATTTGCTTTCCTTCTTAGTGGTACCTAATGATTTGTCTCACAATTCATAGCATCATGAGTTCAATAAAATCAGGTCAAGTTTCCTCAAAAATCACAATACATATTTGCATATCAAAAGATCCAAGACATTCTGTTTTAGAAGACACATCGATTTAATATTAGGAAATTAGATTGTTAGGATTATTCCCCTGCTGTCAAGAAACCACTATACTCTTCAGGATATTAAAGTTTAAGACCTCACATTTGTTTGCTATTTACAAAGCTATTTCTAAAATGTTATTTTGTGTATAGCAGATAATGTCTACTCCACATTCATAGAAAGACAATATCACAAAGTTAAAAATAAAAAATGGAGAAAGAAAATGCTTTTCCCATGAGTATACCCACCATCGCCACCCACCCTTCCCTTAGCTGTTCTGAGCCTGCAGAGAACCATCAGAATAACTTCTCAATGCAATGTGAGAGAGAAAAAAAACACCTTTGTTTACCAAGCAGACCACCACAGAGTGGAATGTTGTACTTATGTGGCATTCAGTTATTGGTGGCTTCTTCTGCAAGCCTTTCATACAGTTGCTAAGGTCCACAGATCATCACTCCCTCCTGGATCCCAAGCCCACGCACCTGGTCCTGCCTGACCCCTGTGAACGTTCCCTCACTTCTCCTTTAAGAACATTCGCCAAGAGTAACCTTCACCCTCCATTTCTAGTTCAAACTTGTAACTGTTGGAAATAGGCAGGTTGGAAAGTTGTGGACATACTGGCTTTCAAAACTGCATTCTTTAAAGATTTTCTGAATAGTAAGGAAGCCTGTTGTGATTTTTTTTTCTTTCTCCTCTCGCAGCTAACAGGTCCTATTGATGTCATCCATCAAGCCAAAGCTTGCTGTGATGTCAAAGGGGGGAAGAATGAACTGAGCTTCAAACAAGGAGAGCAAATCGAAATCATCCGCATCACAGACAACCCTGAGGGGAAATGGTTGGGCAGAACCTCCAGGGGGTCATGTGAGTCCAAATTTTCCTATAACTTCAAATTGCCATCCTTTGAGCCAAAATAAAAATGTGCACATTCTTCCAGAACTACTCACAACCATTAAGTTAGGAGTTTTGCTCCAGGTGGATAAACATAGGAAGATGTAAAATGATAGAAATAGTTCATCTTCACCTCCTCTGTTATCTTTCAGGGGGAACCATGTAAATGTTGGCTCTAGGGAGGGACAGGGGGCATCAGGCTTCCTTTCATGTTGAAAGGGGGAAAATGAGTCATGCGAATCCATTTGGAATCTCGAGGGTAGGCTTATTCCAAACCACAACAGCGTGAAACGTGGACGTGGTACAGTGACACGTGTGTCTGCGTGGGCAGTCTATAGATCAGAATTGCAAGAAAAGAAAGAAAGGGCCATTTTATTTTATTTTATTTTATTTTATTTTATTTTATTTTATTTTATTTTGTAATAATCCTCACCCGAGGATATTTTTCCATTTATCTTCAGATGGGGCGGAGAAGAGAGAGAAACATCGGTGTGAGAGAGACACAGTGATTGGTTGCCTCCCCCACGACCCTGACCAGGGCCGGGGACAAACTGCAACCGAGTTTCGTGCCCTTGGCCAGAATTGACCTTGAGACTCTGGTCTGCAGGCCGATGCTCTAACCGCTGAGCCACACCTGCCAGGGCATAAGGGGCCACTTTAAAGAGCAAGCGTGCACTTGGTATTTTCTTCGCAACTTTGAACGGCTGAGGCTGGCTGCGCTCACTCCCTGCCCCCTCTAGATGGCTACATCAAAACCACCGCGGTGCAGATCGACTACGACTCGCTGAGACGGAAGAAGACCTCTCTCGGTGCCCTCTCATCGAGACCCGTGGAAGACGACCAAGAAGTGTACGATGATGTTGCAGAACAAGACGACGTCAGCAGGTACGTCAAAGACAGTCTGTGAACAGAGCCGACTGTCTCCTTGCTGGAGATCATGGATGCTCAAGGGCCTTCCAATTCCTCCTGCCCCCTACCGCTGACCTGAATGCGCACAGGAACGCGGCTGTGGGTGCCAGGCCATCTGGAACTCCAGACCGCTTTATTTTACTCTTTGTTTTGTTTTGTTTTGATGGTTTTACCGATTTTTTGAGAGAGAACATCGATATGAGAGAGAACATTGATTGGCTGCCTCCTACTGGGGATCGAGCCATAACCCGGGCGTGTGCCCTGACCAGGAATGGAACTGGGACCTCTCAGTCCATGGGAGGACACTCAGTCCACTAAGTCTCCCCAGCTGGGCACTCTGTTTATATGTATCAAATATCTCTCGAAAAATCATGAGCCATTTGTTCGATCTTGCCAAATTATTGTCGTTCCAAAATGCTGTTCTATAATATTCATTTGACCTTAGGGATATGATGCCTAAAATAAATGTGATTTTGTAAAATGTGAGGCATAAAACAGAACATTTAGTTCTAAGAAATATAAAATGCTTGCCCTGAAATCTTTGAGCCTAAATATATTTGTTGTTCTTATTTGAACATATAATAGAAAATAAAAGAATGCTTTTTACTACAACCCTACTTTGTTCTTTAAAAGTACAAAAGTAAACCCTCAATTCCTTATGATCCCTGTGTATCAACTAAGGGACCACCTTTCCATTGCCCATCATTCCACTAGATGAGGGTGAAGTGCGCACACACAGTGTGGGCACACCTTCCCAGGGCAGAGGAACAGAACCAGGCACCCTTCTGGAGGAGCCCAGCAGGGAGAAGAGCTGTCTTCTTCCACAAGTGTTTTTTTAACACTTGATTTGAGGGAGAGACAGAGAGAAACATTGATGTGAGAGAAACATCATTCTGTTGCCTCCTGCACATACCCCAACTGGGGATCAAACCCACAACCTAGGCATGTGCCTTGACCTTTTCTTCTCCCCTCCCCCTCTCAGTCTTCCACTTCCTTTCTCCCTGCCCTCTCTTCTGTCTCTTTTCCCTAGCTCTGACTTTCCTTGCCCTTTCTTCTCCTTCTTGCTTTTCCATTCCCCTTCTCCTTTCATTCCTTCTTCCCTCCAGTATCTTCCCTTCCTGTTAAAATCATAATCCATCAAGTTGAAGGAAACGCAGAAGGACAGTATCCAGCCCGGTAACAAACCCTTGTTTTCCTGGGCCCGCACTGCGGCCTCGGGCATCAGCCACCGTGGTCCCAGAACACAGGCTCTGTGCTAGATCTTCATGCGGGTAAAACGCGTCTGCATTCTTCGGAGCTCAGATGTCAAAGAAAAGATGTTTTCATTATCAGCCATGTGAAAAACATAAAACTATCCAAATAGTACCATACTTTTAAGACACATGAGGAGTTAAATTTTCCCTCATGAAATTTGTTGTGTTGTTTTCCAGCAGTTCTGTCTTTCTGAAATGAATTATAGCATGCAATGCCTTCTTTACCACGTCATGACCATAAATTGTGCAAAGTATATCAAAGCATGCAACATGTACCCTGGAGTCTACGGATCACGAAATGGCTCTAGTCATCAGAAACCCATTAACCTAGTTTGGGAGTCAGTAAATGTCAGTTTCAAGGTCAGTTGAAGTGCTAAATGGTCATAGTCTGAGATTTACAGAATTTTTTGGACACATGGCATTCCACATATATTATCATGTGACAGTACATTTCTCTTTTCCTTATTTTTTCAAAACCACATTTCTCTTATTTTGGAGTTGAAGAACCACAATCATGTTAATAAATACATATGTATTCTGATATACATACTCAAGGAAAAAGAATGAATCCACCAAAAAGAATGATGTTCTTAAAATTGAGCATTATTTTTTTTAACACTTTTGATTTGAGGGAGAGACAGAGAGAAACATTGATGTGAGAGAAACATCAATCTGTTGCCTCCTGCACATACCCCAACTGGGGATCAAACCCACAACCTAGGCATGTGCCCTGACCAGGAATTGAACCAGCACCCTTTGGTGTCTGGGATGATGCTCAACCAACTGAGCCACACCAGCCAGGGCTTGAAATTGAGCATTATTTAACCTTAACAGATGACTATTTTCCCAAACTAACACTACCATCTTTTCCATTTTAGCAAGTCTGTACATATCATAGCTCCAAAGACGTGCTCCACTTAGTAAACATGTAGCAGAGAATCTTTTATGTAATAAAACGGAACTGGAGGAGGTGTATGGTTTTAATGCTCCATATTTTAAACAAGTATAGACCCACAATATTTACCAGCCTCTATCCCTCTCATGCATATTTAAGAAGTAAAAGAAAGAAGAGACATAATTTCTACACGAGTTTTGCTTTTGAAACTGCAGCTGCTGCTGGCAGGGATCTCATAACAGAACATGCTTTGTCCTCAGAACAAGGAAGGATGCTGACCACAGCCAGCAGCCTGCCCCGGCAAGAATAAGGGAGGCGCCCTCCTCGCCTCCCTTCTCCCGATGCCTCCTGGGCCCTTGCACTGCCTACCTCTTTCCTGGCCCCTCCAGGGTGAGGACAGCTGACTGTGCATTTAAGCTCTCTGAGCAGACAGGAGGCTTAAAACCACAGGTCCTGACAGCTGTTCTTCTCTTTTTCTTCTCATTTAAAGCAGTTGGGGGGGGGGGGCGGATATGAAAATTTAAGGAAAAGGAAATTGCACATGCAAATTCCAATCCTCCATCACACAGCAAAATCTTTCTACGTCCGTTTCCCACTCTTTGTCCTTCTGTTCATTCTTTTCTTTTTCTCGTCCCTTTCTCTTTCCTCACACTCTCCTTCTCCTTACCTCAACTCCATCTGTTACATGTTTTGTATTCTGAACAGTATTTTAAAAAGCTAAGAATTGCTTTAGGCCCCACTGGAGTGGATCACTGGTCGAATGTTGACCCATGCACCAAGAGGTCGCTGGTTCAATTCCCAGTCAGGGCACATGCCCAGGCTGTGGGCCAAATTCCCAGTGGGGGCCGTGCAGGAGGCGACCAATCGATGCTCTCTCTCATCGATGTTTCTATCTCTCTCTCCCTCTCCCTTCCTCTCTCTCTAAAAGCAATAAGGAAAAAATTTTTTAAAAAGGATTGCTCTAGGAATGGAATAACGTGTGGCAGCTTTGTTCCCGGTTATCATAACCTCTTTCGTTGGGAATTGAGTATCAGAATCTCCAAAATGGGATCGATTTGCCAGGAATGGCAGCCAACCAGACTGTAACTCTTCACATGGTTCTAACGCTCTGCTTTCTGCTCAAAAGGGGGTGTCAGAGAATATGAGTGTGGAAATAGTATGTAAGTAAAGAAGATACTTGAACTTTATCCAAAGTGAATTCCTTGCTTATCCAGAAAGACATTTATAGCATGTTTTTCTGTAAAGTTCCATTAGCAAGAGTTTTCGTGTGTTTTTCCCCCCAAATTAACAGTAGATCTGCATCCGACCACTTTCTTTGATCTGCCTTTAAGACTGAGGAATCAGCTGTGAGTGTACAGCTATGCTGTGTGGTTGTGCTGTCAGGCTGTCTCTGTTGTGGGTGGATGATCCAAAGGGAAGACTGAGGAATCAGATGTGAGTGTACAGCTATGCTGTGTGGTTGTGCTGTCAGGCTGTCTCTGTTGTGGGTGGATGATCCAAAGGGAAGACTGAGGAATCAGATGTGAGTGTACAGTTATGCTGTGTGGTTGTGCTGTCAGACTGTTGTGGGTGGATGATCCAAAGGATGGCCATGCAGGGGGTGAGCCAGGTGCCGCCAAACCAGCGCTCTATGGGAAGGCAGGACGCTGAGGTTCTGATCTCAGCTCTTCAGTTCACTGAAAGGGTTTGGTGAAGTCATTTAATTTCTCAGAGATTCTGTTTCTTGTGCACAGATTGAGAGAATTGAAGCAGATGAATTCAGAGATTTTCCAGTTCTCGCAGTTTACACTTCCTTTGCTGTCATAGAATTCACATTTTAGTGGCAAACAGGCAAGAAAATAGGCGATTATAAAATCGGGATATAGAATGTTATGGAGATAAAGAAATACAAGCAGTCTGGATTTGGAAAATCACGGACCACACTCTATAAAGCCCCATGAATAAGATTTCAATTTTTTTTTAAAGTTCTCCCTTTTAAAATAAAATGTAATGGTACTAAGAGTAAAATGCTGTGGTTATAAGATGTTGAAATAGAATTGAATGTAATGCAATAATGACTCCTGGAATAATACTATTTTTTTAAATAAGTCTATCTGTGGAATGATGTAATAATGTATAATCTGAAAACTGCTTTGTGGGGAAATGTTAGAAGCAAACAGTATCATTGTTTTGAATAATTTATGCAATATCAAAACTCACTTGATTCTTATTAGGTTTGTTTTGTTTTGTATTTTGCTTATTGCTATGGGCCTTGTTACTATTCATCTCTTAGGATAAACAACAATTTTTCTTCCTCTTTACATATATCAGCCTAAGAACTTTTTAAAAATTTTTTTCTTTAGTGCTTTTTTTTTTTTAGAGAGGGAGGAAGGGAGAGGGAGAGAGAGAGAAAAACATGAATGAGAGAAAACATCAATTGGCCGCCTCCTGCATCCCCCCTACTGGAGATTGGGCCCACACCCTGGGCATGTGCCCTGACCAGGAATCGAACCAGCAACCTCTTGGTGCATGGGTTAATGCTCAACCACTGAGCCATACCAGCCAGACCAGCCTAAGAACTTTTAACTGGAGTATTATTTCTCTTTGGTATAACTACTCAATACATGTACTTCCCTTCCTGATAAATAATTAATATACTAATTTAAGTTGTCTTTGTTTTTTTCCTAGCCACAGTCAGAGTGGAAGTGGAGGTAAGCCACACTCTTTTAGCAGAAGTTTCTCCAAGCCTTCAACATTTTTGTGTATATTAATGACAGAACGCTTTTGTTTACACCACATTAAAGTGGTGGAAAGAACACTGGACTGAAACCAATGACCTGAATTTCATTCCTGGTCACTGAGAGACCCTGAGCAATTCACTTCTTTCTCCCAAGAGAGAAAGCGCCTAGGGTGACCCTACTTCCGTGTGCCCAGGGCGGTCTGGATCGTGCCAGACGTACAGGTGTCATTGCCCAGAGCATCCTCCTTCACTTTGGAGTATCCTCAGTGACTTATATGTCACCTTAGCTGTGACTCTTAAAGACTCCTTGTCTTCTCACCAGCAAAATAAGGGAGTTTTACTAATACCTTGCAGTGCTAACATTTTCATCCTAAAAGTCACATTTCAAGTTCATTGTGCATATTTATTTTTTATTTTTATTGAATTTATTGGAGTGACATTGGTTAATAGAATTATATAGGTTTCAGGTGTACAATTTTAGAATACATCATTGGTGTGTTGTACTGTGTGTTCACCACCCCAAGTCAAGTCTCCTTCCGTCACCATTTAACTACCTCCCCACACCCTTCCCTCCGGTCATCACCATACTTGTCTGTGTCTATGAGGCTTTTGTGGGGGGCAGGGGGCTTAAACCCTTCACCTTTTTCACCCAGCCCCACAAACCTCCTCCCCTCTGAGGGTTGTCAGTCTGTTCTGAATCTATGAGTCTATTTCTGTTTTGTTTGTTAGTTTATTTTGTCATTAGATTCCACATATGAGTGAAATCATATGGTATTTGCCTTTCTCTGACTGGCTTATTTCACTTAGCATAATGCTCTCCAGGTCCTTCCATGCTGCTACAAAGGATAAGATTTCCTTCTTTTTATACAGCCAAGTAGTATTCCATTGTGTAAATGTACCACAGGTTTTGTTTTTGTTTTTGTTTTTGTTTTTACTTTTTTCCTTTATTGGTTTTTAGAGAGAGAGAGGAAGGGAGAGGGAGAGAGAGAGAAACATCGATGAGAGAGAATATTGATTGGCCACCTCCTGCATGCCCCCCACTGGACCTGGCCCACAATCCGGGCATGTACCCTGACTGGGAATCAAACCGGTGACCTCCTGGTGCATGGGTCAATGCTCAACCACTGAGCCACACCAGCCGGGCAACCACAGCTTTTTTATCCATTCATCTACTGATGGACACTTGAGCTGCTTCAAAATCTTGGCTATTGTAAATTATGCTTTAATGAACATAGGTGTGCATATATTCTTTCAAATTAGAGTTTTGAATTTCTTCAGACATATTCCCAGAAGTGGACTTACTGGGTCATAAGGCAGTTTCTCTTTTTTAAATTCTCACCTGAGGATATTTTTCCATTTATTTTTGGATAGAGTGGGAGGGCGAGAGAGAGGGAGAAAAAGAGAGAGAGAGAGAGAGAGAGAGAAACATCTATGTGAGAGAGACACGTTGATTGGTTGCCTCCTGCATGACCCCGATCAGAGCGGGGGACCGAACTGTCACCAAGGTACGTGCTCTTGACAGGAATCAAACTCATGACTCTTTGGTCCACGGGCCGATGCTCTAACCACTGAGCAAAACTGGCCAGGGCTCCATTTTTAATTCTTTAAGGTAACCCCATACTGCTTTCCACAGTGGCTGTACCAGTCTGCATTCTCATCAACAGTGCACGAGGGCTCCCTTTTCTCCACAACCACCAGCACTTGTTTGTTAATTAATGATAGACTTTCTGACAGGTGTGAGGTGATATTCCATTGTGGTTTTAATTTGCATTTCTCTGATGATTAGTGATGTCGAGCATCTTTTCATATGTCTATTGATCATCTATATGTCCTCTTTAGAGAAGAGTCTATTCAGATCCTTTGACCATTTTTTTAAATTGGATTGTTTGTTTTTTGGTGTTGAGTTTTGTAAGTTCTTTATAAATTTTGGATTTTAACCCCTGATTTTATGTATCATTGGTGAATATGTTCTCCCTCATTGTACATATCCTTGCACAGAGAAGGTACTCAATAAACATTTGTCAAATAAATATTTGTCAAAAACAAGATTCCTAAGGGTTGTAGGATAACAACTTAAACAAGAAAGGGTTTAACTTATAAAATATCGTATTGATAAAATGAAATAAAAGAAATGAAAGGTTTGTTTCAGGTACCATCAACATTTACAAATTCAAATTTTATTCCCTTTGCTTTTCTTCACTTATATCTTGATCAATAGTTTTTCTAAATGTCTTCTCACTATTAATTAAAATTTTCTTATTACCTCCTCCCCTCTCTTGTTCAACAACAAATATTTAACTTTATTCTTTATTTAATTTTTCTTTTTCTAATATTTATTCTACCCACTTCTTTTATCTCCAGTGCATAGTACCTTTTAAAAATAATTGTGTGTGTGTGTGTGTGTGTGTGTGTGTTCTTTATTGATTTTAGAGAGAGGAAGGGAGAAAGAGAGAGAGGGGAAGAAACATTGATGTGAGAGAGAAACATCAATCAGTTGCCTCTCATGTACACCCAGACTGGGGATCGAACTCACAACCTATGTATGTACCCTGACCAGGAATCAAACTGGCAACCTTTCAGTACACAGGGCAATGCTCAACCAACTGAGCCACACCAGCCAGGGCACAGTACCTTTTATTATCTCTCATATTTTATTACATTTCACCTCTAAGAATTCTGTATAAAATAATCAACAGAAAAACTTACCTACTATCTTTGTGAGAGTGGGAGAGTAGAACTATTTTTTATTTAAATAGTTACTATGTAAGAGGTATGCTTTCTACAGTTAAATGAGACAGATTTGTTATCAAACTTATTACATAACCAAATTACAAAATTAACAGATTTTCCCCTCTTATTCCAAATGAAGGGATGTTCCCACCTCCCCCAGGTGACGACGAAATTTACGATGGGATTGAAGAGGAAGATGCTGATAATGGGTAAGAATAATCAATGAATTGCCATTTTGCAAATTATTGTATTTACTAAAATTTGCTGCATTTACTGGTTTTTATTTGTAGTTAGAATAAAAAGCAGAAAATAGTGTTCCTTATTAAATTACCAAAAATGATTTAAATGTTTAATTAACAGCCAAGTAAATCAAAAGTATAACTGCACCTCACATCAAATCAAATGAAGTGGCATATTGTTTAAAAAAAATCTGGACAACTGTGTTAAAGAAGTGATAAAGAAAAGGAACAAAGAATTACAGATGTTGTAGTTTTTGTTTCCGTAACTTTTCTCAATAATTTATTTATCAATTAACAATTTACTTTTACAACAGCCTCTGAAGAGTCCATTAATTGCGTGGCTGTCCTTTGTATAATAATTATAGTTCTAGGAAGCCCAAATAAATTGAGACCATATTTTATCTGTGGCAAAACCAGTACTGAATACCCTACCTTTAGTTGTTTAAACTTTCAGAATGACATATTTTAAAATTTAAGATCTATTAGTTACTCAATTTTAATAAAAAACAAAGCTAAATAGACATATAAAACTTAATCCTGACTTAGCTTACTATTTTAAGAACCAAGAGAAATCTCACCAAATAGAAAATAATACATCTTACCTACTCCTTACCTAGTAGCAGCAGTATTCAAAGCTGATGACCTATAAGTTTAATAGCATCATCTTGTTGACTCCAATGAGTAATTTACTGCCTAAATGATCATTGCACCACCAATGTCTTCATGTTCCACTGATTATTCCATTCTGATAAATGCCTTCATGCTCCTAAGCTCCACGCTACAGGTCAAAGAGAAGAATAACTCGTGGTCCTGGGGAATTTTGAAGATGATAAAGGGAAAAGATGACAAAAAGAAAAGTATACGAGAGAAACCTAAAGTCTCTGAGTCAGACAGTAATGAAGGTTCATCGTAAGAGTCAACCAATCAAATCCAGTGCACAATAACTACACTAATATTAATTTAATCAAATCCTACTAATATTTTATAACCAATAACCAAATTCTGACAGGCTTACACAATTTTAATATTATTTTAAATTAATCATCTTAGCCTCGTTTACTATCTCACCCTTAAACTCATACATTTACATAAAAGGAGCACAAAGTATTTAAAAACCATTATGATTCAAAGATATATTTTGTTTTCCCTATAAACATGTACATACACACACATACATACATACATACATGTGCACATACACACCCTCACACACTCATATTCACAGACTCTACTTGCTAGGACTTTTTAAACTGTAACATCACATCTAAAAGCTCACAATTCCAATGCCACATTTTATTATATAATATTTTATATTGACTACTCCTAAAAATATAATTACTCTTGTAAAATTTAATTTGCTACAAATAACGGGCACTATTTGGAACTTCTTTTCTCTAAATAAAGTATGTAAAGTTTTTATAACTCTCTTCCACAGTAGTGACATATTAATTCTATTTGAATTATATATTTATCCCATATTAAAGTTATTCTAAATATATTCAGTTTGTCTAAATAAAAATTAATGCATAAATTTTCTTTTTCCATCTAAAAATAACCTTTCAGTATAAATCCCATGCATGGGAATTTGAAAGATTTTAATCATATTATCTGGTACATGACTCAACACTCTTGTGAATCACTGAAATATCACTCAATAAATAGGACACAAAATTTTAAGTAAACATATTTTCTTTTAATAAAACATTACTCAAATATAGTCCTTACTTAGAAATAAAAGCCAAGATATTTTTTTCTGCTCCAAATTACATAAAACCTAATTCTAACTTTGGATCATTTGAACTAATAACCACTCACACGTTCATAAAACTGTGCACCATTCTTCCAGTAGGGTGTGTGTGTGTGTGTGTGTGTGTGTGTGTGTGTGTGTTTAAAGTTCAGAAAGTAATAAAAGCAAAGGGCTTTCTCTATTGCAACTAAATGCCACCCAATGCTGATTTGAGACCACCTGTATTAATAAGCTCTTCCTTGTTCGTTTCCATAGCTACGCCTCTCTTATTCGCCATTCTCCTGTTTGGGGATATATATGTACATATCGGGGAGACATGGTCATATGAAGATTCTTATGACCTTTATAAATTTCAATTCTGCATTTCTACAAGTCAAACAGTTTTGGCCTCAGCTATGCGACAATAAATCCAAAATAATGAGGCCATTTAATTAACTTTGTTCTAATAATATGTCCAAATCTCATAGAATAAATCTGAAAACATTGGTCCAATGGTTACGAGAAAAATAAACCACTGCATGTCTTGACTCTTGACTTTTTGGGCTAACATTGGAGTTCCAAAAAGTCTTGCTAAATTCCAAATTGATGGATGGAACCTGGACTTAGCGGAGAAATGGAGGATGAGAAAGGAATGAGAGTCAACAGAGCCATTAGCCTTTCTAAGCCTCCAGGCTTGTTCATGTCTCTCTTAAGTAAAGGGATTAATTTCTGTGTTTTGGCCTGATTATCATTGTGTTCTTTTTTTTTTTTTTCCAGTTTCCCTTCTCCTCCTAAACAATTGGGTAAGTAATAAAAACTAACTGTGTATTTTATATCTCATTTCTTGCAGATTGGGTAGTGATAAGTCATTGGATATAATCATCATATCTGTATTAAAGTTCTGACTGAAAATAATACATTTTGTAACCTTGTCAAGTAACTTCACCTTGGGTGGCCAAGTTTCTCAACAGTGAAATAGCATGAAAAGGAAAATTTCAATATTGATGGTTTTTAAACAGTTATTCCAGTGGTAAGGGTCACAGTGGAGACAGAGACAAGCAGACGGGATGGACGCCAATATTTCCCACTTCCCCTGTACCCTAATTCAATCAGAACTTGATATATCAGACTTCTGCAGAAAGATTTGAAAAACAAATCAAATTAGATGCCACCAAGGCCCTTCTAATCTTTTTTTTTTTTTTATCCTCACCCGAGGACATTTTTTCACTTTTTGTTCAGATAGAATGGGAGGTAGAGAGAGAGAGAGAAACATCGATGTGAAAGGAACACATCGAGTGGCTGCCACCCGCACAACCAACCAGGGCCGGGGACAAACTGCAACCGAGGTACATGCCCTTAGCGGGAACCGAACCCGGGTCTCTCCGGACCGCAGGCCGACGCTCTAACCACTGAGCCAAACCGGCCAGTGCTAATCTTTTTTTTTAATGTGTGATTTATGTTTGGAAAATTTTCCACTGCTAAATATAAAAGTTTCTTCTTTGTACAATTTCAATCAGCTTTTTTTTAACCTGTGCTGAAAATGATCTTTAAAAATTTTTTTTCTTAAATTTACTTGAGCCCTGGCCGGTTTGGCTCAGCGGTTGGAGCGTCGGCCTGCGGTCCGGAGAGACCCGGGTTCGGTTCCCGCTAAGGGCACGTACCTCAGTTGCAGTTTGTCCCCAGCCCTGGTTGGCTGTGTGGGTGGCAGCCACTCGATGTGTCCCTTTCACGTTGATGTTTCTCTCTGTTCCTCTCTCTCAATCCCACTCTACCTGGACAAGGTGTGGAAAAGTGTCCTCAGGTGAGGATGATTAAAAAAAAACAAAAAAAAAACCTTAAATTTACTTGAAAATAAAATGTTGTCTCACAAGAATATTCAGGGCCTTACAAAAACTTTGTTCTAATGAATAAATAAACACAAAGATAATATATTCTTCTAGACTTTTACCTAATTTGTTTTCCATTATAAATTTGAGACTGTGTGAGGCACTAATTCAAACCGATCAGTAAATAATGAAGAACTTGCATCTCAATCTACAATTTTCAAAACATATTCAAAAAACAGCTCCACAGAGAGTAAGCATAACATGTAAGAAATGTGATTAATTGCCCTGGCCAGTTTGGCTCAACGGTTAGAGCGTCAGCCCATGGGCCAGTGAGTCTCGGGTTCAGTTCCGGTCAAGGGCACGTACCTTGGTTTTGGTTCAGCCCCCAGCCCTGGTCAAGAATGTGCAGAAGGCAGCCAGTCGATCTCTCTCTCTCTCTCTCTCTCTCTCTCCCCCCCTCCCTCTCCCTTTCCCTCCCTCCCTCCCTTCCTCCCTCCTTCCTACTCTATCTGAAGATAAATGGGAAAAAATCCTCAGGTATTATTTTAAAAAAAATAAGAAATGTGATCAATTAAGTAAAAAATGTATTTTTTGTTTTTTAATTTTCTTTTTCTTTTCTCCTGTTTTTGTTAATCCTCACTCAAGGATATTTTTTCATTGATGTTTAGATAGAGTGGGAGGAAAGGGGGGGGGGAGAGAGAGAGAAACATCAATGTGAGAGACTGGCTGCCTCCCACCCAACCTCAACCGGGGCTGGGGATTGAACCTGCAACACAGATACATGCCCTTGACCTGGAATTGAACCCAAGACCCTTTGGTCCAAGATCTGACACTCTAACTGCTGAGCCAAACCCACCAGGGGTGTTTTTTAATTTTCTTGTGTTGTTTTTTATGTGTATGTGTTCTAAGTGTATGTACATGGAATAGTAATTTTTCCTTATCTGGAAATCAATGATATGTCATTTTCCCAACATATTTGTTATGGATTCTTTACAGAGCTAAGCTAGTTTTAGCCTTTGAAATTAATTAACCTCATCAGGGAGAGAATCTATATATATATACAGAGAGAGGGGAATTTTTAAAGGAAATCAAATCCTCGCCACTACCAGAGAACAGATAAACTTTCTACGATAATCATTACTTAAAATACTCTTCCTCTTCCTCTACTCTGTTCAGCTTCATCTACCGTGGGCCTTTATTCAGAAGTCTAGGAGGAGGGAAAGCAACTACAAATTGGAAAAGCCATTGAGCCAGTTAAGGTCATAGCAACTTTTCCAGCAACACTGACTCTCATTACCCACTGGTATCAGAAGTGTCTTATTAATAGAATGATTATTTCCTTTTAAGGTGGTGCCATACCTAATATACCAAATATTACTGTAAGGTAAAGGCTAATGAGGAACAGATCAAGGAGTAAATGGGAATGATGATAGATAGATAGATGATAGATAGATAGATAGATAGATAGATAGATAGATAGATAGACAGTCAGACAGTCAGACAGACAGACATTGACATTGACATAAAAATAAAATAAGCCCTGGGTTCAGTCCCCCAATAGGGCACATATAGGAGGCAACCAATTGATATTTCTCTCTCATATAAATGTTTCTCTCTTTCTCTCTCTCCCTCTCTCCCTCCTCTCTCTCCCTTCCTCTCTCTCTGGAAAAAGAAAAAAAAGGAAATCAATGAACATATCCTTGGGTATAAATAAATAAAAATAATAAAATGATATATATTATTATAACACCCCAAATCTCAAGATAATCTTGATTTCAATACTGCCAATGACCAGCAATGTCATTTTTTTTGGTCAGTAATCTACTAATCCTGCCATTCATGACATTTGTGAATCTTCAGATAATCTGTCACTGTTTTGGGGTTGTTGGGTTTTTTTCCTGAAAATGAGAGTTACAATCTTGGTCACTGATTTTTTGAGGGAAATTTAACACAGGCATCCGAGGAGATGAGAACCTCTCCGCTTTATTAAACAGGTAAAGCTTCCAGCAGAAATGTACAGAGACAACAGAACAGCTTATTTTGTTGTCCTTGAAACATTAAACGCTCAGATCAAAATTTAAACTAACAGCTTTCAACTTTCGATATTTTGTCTTTCGTTAGATGCAGGAGATGAAGTCTATGATGATGTTGATGCCTCTGATTACCCTGCTCCTTCAGCAGAAACGAGGTAATTAAAATGTTCTCAATACAATGAAGTCATGAAAATCAGACTGCTCAAGGAAATGGAACTAGAATCAAACTCCGATAGGGTGTATATCTGCTGTGTGAAATCATGTTTGCTCTGTCTTCTCCCTGATCCCAGCTCTAACTTCTGCCAGGTTTGTGAGTTGATAACCCTGATCTTCCTCTTGTCTCTCTCTCCTCCCTCAACTCTTCCCCTTGCCTCCCTTCTCCCCATGGTCCTGCTCATTGACCCCTAATTATCCTCTGCTCAGTGACTCACTGATGTCTTCATTCATTCATTCATTCATTCATCCACTGGGAACATATTTGAGAGCCTGATCACACTGATATCACTGATTCATCTCCTCCCTTTATTTTTACTCTTAAAACCATTTTGTCTTGAATACATTACTTGGTTTATATCAGCCTTCACACACCTTGTTTAAGTGTCTTCTATGGGAAAAAGATTTGTTCTTTAAAAGGACTTCTAGTATTTCTCTTTTTCACAAAAGCATTACATTTTCAAAGGTTCCATTCAAATTTTTTTTTTTAAGTCAATGGTGAATACTGACATTCTTTGGCTCACCTAAGGCTTCGATTTAATTTCAGGATAAAATTGTAATAAAATCTAAAATCAGTTCATACCAAAGGCATACCTTTGGAAAACTCTTTTGAAATAGAAAATAACATGATAGGATGCTTTTTTATGGTTCAATAAATATGTGAGATGATCTGATACATACTGTGTATAAAAGCAAACATGTCTCTAGCTTTTTCAAGAAAAAAAGACAGTTGAATAAAAATATCCTGGACTTGGGTAGTTGAAGGATGAAAGTAATATAAGTGGAATGCAATAAGTGATGTCTTCTAAGCTATACTGGTAAAAATGCATAAATAAACTCAAAGTATTTATTTTTTGTTAAGATTGTTAAACGAATTTTATTGAACAAGAGACAGCACCAAGATTAAAGAAACCCAAGGGAAAATATGCTTTCATTTATATACAAACATCGAGTTTGATAGGCGAAACTAACGAGAAAAGTGCAAGGAGAAACATTCTCCTTTTTCAGTTCTCCATGAATGGAAAAATCTAATCTTCAGTAATACATTTAGTTTTAATCAGCCTTACCATTGGGAAATTGCTTCTATTCCTGACCGTTTTTAATGCATTTTTCTGTCTTATATCACTGTAGAAATGCCACTACATTCCATGAAATAGCTCTTGAGAACCCACAGTCATGCATTGGCTCTCTTGTCCAAGAAAAATAAACAGCAGCTGATTAAATTTAATGTGATATGTAACTGTTTTCTTACTGGTTGCTTATTTTCAGAGTTTAAAACAATTTTGTGTTCTCTAACATAATATTCTATTTTGTTGTTGTTGTTGTTGTTGTAGTAATCCTCACCGAAGAATATTTTTTCCATTGATTTTTAGAGAGAGTGGAGGAGAGGGAGGAAGAAGGGAGGGAGAGAGAAACAGCGATGTGAGAGAGACACATTGAAGGATTGCCTCCTGCATGCGTCCAGACCAGGGCTGGGGATCGAACCTGCAACCCAGGTACATGCCCTTGCCTGGGAATCAAACCTATGACCCTTCAGTGCATGGGCCAGTACTCTAACCATTGGGCAACACCAGCCAGAGCATATTCTGTTTTTAAATAAATTTCAATAAATTCTTTTCAAAGATAGCTTGTGGGGGATTTTTAACTTCCATGTATATTCTGATAACTTCAGAGTACTGACTGGGGACTACAACTCCACTACTGCCCAGAGTATAAGACAGGACATACTGAGGGAGGAGGCAGATTATTGTACTGGCTCATCTCACAGGGAATCAACTAAATTTGAATATTAAGAATTTAAAAATCCAGTATTTTAAATAAATCAGTTATGAACAAAACTTTGTCTTAGGTCATCTAAATAAAAATTAGTACCAGTATTTAAAATGTGTCGTGACTGCCCTGGCAGGTTTGCTCAGTGGTTAGGGCATCGGCCCTTGGACCAAAGAGTCATTGGTTCAATTCTTGGTCAACGGCATGTATCTGGGTTGCAAGTTCAATCCCCAGCCCCGGTCAGAATCGTGTGGGAGGCAACCAATTGGTGTGTTTCTCACATTGATGTTTCTCTCTCTCTCTCTCTCTCTCTCTCTCTCTCTCTCTCTCTCTCTCTCCGCCCTGCCCCTTCCTCCCTGCCATCCTACCTAAAAATGAATGGAAAGAATATCCTCAAGTGAGGATTAAACAAACAAACAAGTAAATAAATACATAAATAAATAAAATGTTTTATTAATCACAAATATTCTGATTTTTAAAATTTTGTTCTGCAGAGATTTATAGCCTTTCCCTAACATCCATATGTAACCATAGCAAATGGTTCTCAACCTTGGCTGCAAATTACTGTCACCAGAGGAGCTTATAAAATATGTCAGTACAGTCCCAGTGCAGCTCAGTTGGTTGAGTGTTGGCCATGTACCAAAAGGTTCCCTGTTCCATTCAGGGTCAGGACACATGCCCAGGTTGTGGGCTTAATCCCCAATAGGGGGCATGTAGGAAGCAGCCAATCAATGTTTCTCTCTCTTTCTCCCTCTCCCTTCTTCTCTCTCTAAAATCAATAAAACCGTATTTTGAAAAAATAAAATAAAATATTTTAGTACACAGACCCCACCTAGTCGAAAAGCTTCCCAAGTGACCTTGTATGAGGCCAAGCTGGAGAATCACTGTCTCAGGCTCATTCACCTGTTTTAACAATTGGCTTCAGTACAGTTGGTATCTGTGACATACCACCCTGGCTCCACTTGAAACGGATGTGGAAAAACCAACATGTAGATAAACTTTTTAAGCTATGAAAATCCATTTTTTAAGTGTTCTTTTTTTTAAAGTCTTTTCTATGTCATTGGCCAATTTATTTAATTATCTAGGAAGAGATAAAAAATATAAGGGGTTTAAGACTAGGTTGAATCATATGAAACTGCTGATATGTGACCATGTTTATTCCTCAGTGACTTTGTATAGTTCAACCTAACAGATCATCTTTCACTTCCATTTTAACTCATAATTTGTATTCTCTTGAAGAACCTCTTCTGCATTGTGAATGTCATTTATTACAATGACTATATTGCATAGTTAAGAAAAGGAATTAATTAAAAACAAAATATCACAAAAATTTAATATTATGACCAAAGTTTCTATTCTACATTATTATATATATATTTTAGCCCCTATTATTTATTATAGTCAAACTTAACATGTTCCAGGAAAAAGGAGGCACATACTGTTGGTAGTAAGAGGGGTATTTTTTAGTTTCTTCTTTATACTCCTTATATTTTCACAGTTATTAACAATGTGTATTAACTTCTGGTATGACTAGGGAAAAAAAGCCATTAAAATCTCTTTTGGCTAGATTGACAAAGGCTACCTCTTCTGACAAATACCTTCTTTGTGATTTTGCCAGAAATTATTTCAAATGATTAAGTATCTTTATGGTCATGCAATAACAAAGAGATTTAGATTTATTTATTTATTTATTTATTTTATAATTAATTAATTTATTTTTGTTACAGATGTTTCTCCTCTTTCCCCCACTGAACTCCCTCCCCCCCCACCCTGTCCCCAGCTTTTTGTCCTGTCCACGGTTCACGCGCACATGCACATAAGTTCTGTGGTTTTAAACTAAGTATCATTTTATGTGTGTTCTGCCTTCCTAGTCAAGGAGCCAAGGCCAAAGCAGAAGAGAAAGACCTTAAGAAGCTAAAAAAGCAAGAAAAAGAAGAAAAAGACTTCAGGAAAAAATTTAAAGTATGTCAAATTTAAATATCATAAAAAATTCAAGTGCCAATGAAAAAATCCTATGATTTATATGTTCCAAAATGAATATTTTAAAAATGTGATTATTAATATCACAGTTATTCATCATAACTCCTTCATTTTCTATAAAATTTATTTTAGGTTTAAACTTATTCCTATAACAAATTAAGCAAATTTACACATGCATAATATATATAGTGAAATAATCATCTAAATTTAGCTGTTCTTTGAGCTTTGATAAGAAGGTAAAAATAAAATGGATAAAATAGATGTGGTATATATACAGTGGAATATTATTCAGCCATGAAAAAAGAAAACCCTGCCACTTGTGACAACAGGATGGACTTTGTGGGCATTATACTAAGTGAAATAAGCCAGACAAAGGAAGACAAATATTACGTGATCTCAATTAAATATGGGATCTAAAAAAAAACAAACTCATAGAAACATAGAGGAGAATGTGGGCTTACCAGAGGCTGGCAGGGTGGGGGAAATGGGGAGATGTTGGTCAAAGAGTAAAGGGTGCACACTTTTGGTTATAAGATGGATAAGTCTTAGGAATTTGATGTACAGCATGGAGATTATAGCTAGCAATACTGTACTATACACTTGAAAATTGCTAGAAGACTAAATCTTAAATGTTCTCACCTAAGAAAAGAAAGGGTAATTATGTGAGGTTATAGAGGTGCTAACTAAACACAGTGGTCGTCATTTTGAAACATGAGTGTATCGAAGTAATAAATGTACACGGTAAACTTTTTAATTTTTTATTTTAAAATAGATATTATATTAGGTTGGTGAGGTTATATGTGATTTTTCACAAAAGAAACAAAAAAACCTTCAGTGTTCTTACATTATCTTCTAAAAACAAGGAACTGTTTATTTAGCAAAGACTTTCTTTTTTTTTCCCTCACCCGAGGACATTTTTCCATTTTTTGTTCAGATAGAGCGGGAGGGAGAGAGAGAGAGAGAAACATCGATGTGAAGGGACACATCGAGTGGCTGCCACCCGCACGACCAACCAGGACCGGGGACAAACTGCAACCGAGGTACGTGCCCTTAGCGGGAACCGAACCCGGGTCTCTCTGTACCACAGGCCGACGCTCCAACCGCTGAGCCAAACCGGCCAGGGCTAGCAAAGACTTTCTTAATAAATACATCAGTAAATGAATTACTTTAATAATACTCATTAATCAATAATGTATTTTTTTTTCTAGTATGATGGTGAAATTAGAGTCCTATATTCAACCAACGTTGTTCCATCCATAACTTCTAAAAAGTGGGGGAACAAAGATCTACAGGTGAAGCCTGGTGAATCTCTTGAAGTTATACAAAACACCGATGATACAAAAGTTCTCTGCAGAAATGAGGAAGGCAAATGTAAGTCACTGACTACATAGACATAACCCTCCAGCATTTAACAACCGAACAAGGTTCAGTGAGCTTGTATTAAGTCTTTCATTCTATGCTTTGTGGATTAAGAAATCTTGCTGTGTTGCAATCAATGTATTTTATTTTCATTTCCCACCCGCTATATTTCACAATGCAGTGCCAAATTAGTGCTTCTCTCTCTCTCTTTTTTTAATGCTTTAATTTTTTTTAGAGAGAGAGGAAGGGAGAGATAAAAACATCAATGTGAGAGCAAAACATCGATCAGCTGCCTCCTGCACGCCCCTACCGGGAATCGAGCCTGCAACCCAGGCCTGTGCCCTGAATCAAACCAGGACCTCTCAGTCCCTGGGATGATGCTCAATCCACTGAGCCACACTGGCCAGGCAAATTAGTGCTTCTCAAAATGAGGTCCCACAGACCCAGCATTAGGAGACCCTTGTGTGCATTCTGACATTGCAGTCGCCCGGACCCACCCTTGACTTCCTGAGTTGTGAGCTCTGGGGGTTCGATGGACACTGTGATCAAAGCTCTTCCCTGGCTTCTTCCTGTGTACACTAAAGTAAGAACACAATGCTAGGGTAGTGAGCGGCACGAGCTCCGGCCTGGGTCTGAAATTATATATGTCACACCTAGAATTTCCAGTTTTCCTACCTTGTAAAGCCACTTGTTTTCATTGCCTACACGGACACAGTGAATATGAAATACCATTCCCAGTGAATACAAGACAGCCCTTGTCCTCTTTCACTCTATCAGCTGTGAAAGCAGGCAGATGGAAATGTTTTGGTCAAATGTCTAAAAAGGAAGCTTATGTAATTTAAAGTCAAGGAAAGAGTAATTCAGAATGATATTGTCCTATATTTAAAATCGGATAGCCAGCGTGGCTGCCCCCTATCACCAGGTTCGTCTGCACAGAACACAGGAACTCAGAGTCGAATTTTAATGACAGGAAGGTGACTCAGGGACAGGAACTGAACTGGAGCTTTAAGAACAAAACACAGTGACTCAAGGGTGGGGAAAGTGGGTCTAAAGTTATCATGGAGGAGGTGTGGTTGGCTTTGAAAGCAGAAAAGGGGATGTGGGTACAAAGGATACAAGGCAGAGGGAGTGTAGTATTAAGATCCAAACTTGCTGGAGATAACGTGTAAACAGAGCTCCAGGCAACAAAGGAAACCCCCTTTCAGACTAGCGTTTGGGAGGATGTACCCCAAGGAATAGCCTTCAGTGCAGGAAAACTGTAAGCATTAAAATGACATCAAAAATATTAAAAATGTTTAAAATTTTTTAATTGTTAAATAAGTAATGATGACTATACCACACTGAATATTTTACATGATGATCATGAAAATAACAAGGTGAGGAAATTCTCAGGACACAACAGGAAGAGAAAGAAGAATTCTGCTTAATGTGGGCTAGGATTTACAGGCATGCTAAAAATTATGTAAATAAAAAATCTTGTCTAGCCGGTGTGGCTCAGTGGTTGAGCACCGACCCATGCAGCAAGAGGTCGCTGGTTTGATTCCCAGTCAGGACACATGCCCAGGTTGTGGGCCCGATCCCCAGGGGGGGCATGCAGGAGGCAGCCAATTGATGTTCTCTCTTATCGATGTTTCTATCTCTCTCTCTCCCTCTCACTTCCTTTCTCCAAAATCAATAAAGGAAAAAAAATGTTTTAATCCTAAAATGTTAATAGTGGCTGATTAGGTTGATGAGCCTAAGTAATATATTTCCTTTTCTCTGCTTTCCTAATTATTTCGCATATTTCACAGCAGAGAATGGTCCTAGTATTTGTTACACACATCTGTCTCCAGTGCACATGCTCCAGACACACCTTGACCCTGGTATGGTAGAAGAAAATCTTGCCATGCAGTTCTGAGACTCCCGTCCCCAGCAATAAATGCCATTTGCAGCAATGCTCCTCGATGTCAAAGTATATGCACATCCCATTGGGACTTGTTGAACACGCATATTCTAATTCAGTAGGTCTGGGGTGAAGTGTGACATTCTGTGTCTTACCGGGCTCTGCAGTAATTGATGCCTCAGGTCTGTGGAGCACACTGAGTTACAAGGATGTGGGTGACCCCATCAACAAGCACGTATAGGTATAGATGTAGGTGAGCAGGAACAGACAACAGCACCAGAAACAGCAATCTGGAGGAGATGCCTATCTTCCTAGAAACCCTAAGAATGAGAAAAGCAGTCGCCTTTCAGAGATTATTTTGTGATCTGCTATCATTTTCTATTTGGACATCAATAATCCTAAGTATTTTGATCAATTCTAGAGGCTCCTGTCCTCTTGGAATTTATCATCTTTTTAAACATGAGAGGTGAAAACATTTACATAAAATTCTGGTAGATGACACTCAAGGAATCCATGTAACTTTTATCGTTTTCCCCTTGGTGCAATACGAGCACACTTTCCAATTCTTCGGTGGCTTGGGGGTCCATCCTGAACAGGATGGAAACCAGACAATTACATCAGTAGTATGTGTGTACCTGTTGTTTTTATTTAAAGACTTTCTTTGGGTTGGACTTTGTCTTAATCTGGTTTCTTCTTTTGAGAGGTGACTCTGGGAAACACATGTAGGTTTATAAAGAAGTAGACAGGGAAGGGAAGGCAGTTAGCACTTGTGTAACTGAAGCTTAATCTAGTAGGGGACCTGGAGAGGCGGTTACCCCGTCCCATGGGAAACACTTGACACAACTCCTGTTCATCAGCAGTGGGAGCCTACTCCTGGGAAGGTAGCAAGTCGTTCAAGATTCTGAGCAAGTTGACAAAGAGAGTTCTGGAAACCGGAGAAAAGCCATTGGTAAAAAAAAAAAATGCAAGTGCTGTCTGTTGAAAGTTGAGTCAAAAAGTACTGATGTAGTCAAGGTGAAGGCATGTCGAGTCATCAGGAGAATTTGCTATTGCCTCTCAAATTAAGTATTATTCCAAAATTTAATTATTATATCTGATTAATTTTACTTTAATTTTTCCTCCCCTAATGTTTCTAAGCCTCCTGCTTATTCCTTCTTTGAACTGGATCCTTGACTTTCTTAATTCTCTAAATTTATGATCAATTCCATACATAACTCTAAAGAATTTGGAATGATTGTCATATGTATTTAACTCCCCCCCTTGTCATATGTATTTAACTCCCCCCCTCACATAGATTATTGCAATAATCTTTTAAATATGTCTACTTTAGCTTATTCTCAACTAATCCACTCACCACACTGTTACCCACACATTATCTTTAGAACACAAAGTCTTGTCCTGGCCCATGTAGCTCAGTTGATTGGGCATCGTCCCGTGTACCAAAGGGCTGCCGGTTCAATTCCCAGTCAGGGGACATGCCCAGGTTGTGGGCTCAATCCCTGGTAGAAGGTGTGTAAGAGGCAGGTGATCAATATTTCTCTCTCTCTCTAAAAATCAATTTTAAAAATCTTTTAAAAAACTCTTTAGGCTAGTACAGATAGCCCTTTCTGAACTAGCATCGCCCTCATCCACTATTTTCCATCTGCAACTGACCCTGTAGGATTACAAACTACCTCTTTGTCATTCCCTCCATAAACTACATGGTTTCATCCCTCTACGTTACTTGATTGTACTTGGAATGCCCATAAGTGTCTATTAAAAACAACCCAGTTGTCATCTAAAATTGGACGCACATCCACTTCCTACTCCCCAACTACCTCATCACAACTGACATCTCCCCAGCTCCACCGTGCTACTGCTTTCGTTGCTTCGGCTGCCAATCTATTATTCTTAGACTCCGAGTTTGAACGAAATGTTCTCCACATTGTTACACCAGCACGTTCTGCCGTGTCTGGCACCTTGCTCAGGGCTTGTGGAATTGAGTGGGACAACTTGGAGACTGCAGTTGGAAAACCAGATAAAAGTCGGACACGCAGACAGCTCACAGGAAGGTGTCTGTTGAAGAGTTTAAATGGCTAGAAAACGGAAGTCCTCTGCCTTCGCCTTAGTAATGCGGTTTGCTTGTTGTGTGTCATTTGGAGGCCTCTAAATCTTTCAGTTCCTCATTTCTGCATCATCTCCTTGGCAGCAAAGGCATCTGCAACCCAACACCATTGTGACCCTAACATTTTCCTTCCTCTCCATTCTTCTTTAATCCATCAAAGGAAAGAAAACACAGCTTACTTAAACCCGAGGTTGGTAATGATAGAAGCTAGAAGCTAAAGCATTAACACTAACGCTTCCCACTGTGGAGAGGAGTACGAGCCGCTTTGACGAGCATCATCACATCTGATCAAGTCTCGGCCACTGACGTGTGAAGCGCCGATTGCAGAGGCACTGAGATCTCAAGTAGATATTTCTGGCACATTCCCAGATGTTTAGAATTTCTCCCTAGTATCCGTGCATATTCCACAACTCAGCGTCTCATGAGCTGTGAGTTTTCCCACCTCTTGTCACTGGAGCAGATTTTTCTACAAAAAATATGCCCTGAGACATGAGCTGGGTTATTTGTGGCGGAGATGTCCTCCAGTCCTTTAGTGTGTCAATAAAAGGGGGTTTTAAAGGTGCTTCAAATTTCCCCCAAATACAACTGATCATTTATTTGCTTAAGTAATTTTGTTTTCAGTTTTAAAACAACACATGCTCATTGAAGAAAAATTTTAAGTTCAGAAATTTGAAAAGTCACCCTGATTTGACGCCTCAGAGATGAGAGAGAGAGAGAGAGAGAGAGAGAGAGAGAGAGAGAACATTTTCTAGAAGTAGGATAATACTATAATAATTGATATTCAGTATTATACACTGCATTTTGTTTTTTCCTTTTATTACATTGTGAGCATTTTTCCTTGAAATTGGACATTGTTCTACTTCCCTGGGTAAATCTATGCAATACAATTTTATTGTTTTGTAAACTGCATGAGGCCAGATTGAGTACATTTCACTTTATATCTGGACTTGCTCACACCAAATGAAATAACCAAGAAATAATAAAAGTTGTCATTTTTATCAAGTAAAAGAAAAATGGAAACTATTAGAATGAAGAGATTCTTCATTTTCGAAAGATGATTTGTTATGTCCTTAGTAGTTGCATGTTCATAACACCCTCTGAAAGGGGAGTCATTTGTCCTGGGACACGACTGTACTGTAGCAAACGTTCGGTGCGGACACTGACTGGTACACGTGGGGGTGGGTGTTCCTGTCTTTCCTGGCTCTGCCCCACCACAGATTTCAAAACATTTGTTTCAAGCCACAGTGTTCCGCTCCATGAATGTGAGGTTTCCAAGTGATCATTTCTTATTAGGTGTGAGAATCCCTGCCAAAGCCTACAATAGCAGCTAAGCATGGCAGGCAGTCTACATGGTATAGACCCGTAAGGCGTTGTTTTGTTTGGTTTTGTTTTTAATTAATTTCATTTGTTTGTAATTTTTGTAATCATTCCCTTAGTTGGATGGACAGGGAACATGTGAGCAAAGAGAGCATTTTCCTACTGCAAAAACAAATTGATTTCTTAAACTATATTGGAGAGAGTATATAAAAATCCACAGCAAGTCATTTGTTTTCACACTGTGGGAAGGCATGCCTTTAACAGAATGGTGTTTTAGCAGAGGGTTTTAAATGTACTAGCCAGCCGAAACTAGGCTGTAGTAATGCATTAATCCCGTAAAAATACTACTTAACAGTCATTTTATAGCTAATGAGCCCCCAATTACCGCATCATTTCAGGGAACTAAAATAGAGCAGCACAGTACCACCCTACACTTAATGTCCTTGAAACATTTTTCTTAAAAATGCTGGCAGTCATCGATGTTTATGGACCAAACACACAACAAGGAAAATGGAGCATCCCCAGAACTCTGAGCAGGCCAGATGTGGGAGCAGATGCCATAGGGCTGTGAGACTCTGAGAGAATATATTTGTTATAATTTATTTTGTGAAGTTAGATAATTAAGCTGTGTGTCATGTAAAGGATCTTTTAGTGCTTAGTTACAGATCGTGTTTTATCCAGGTCTACACAATTTTAGCATTGAGTTTTAAAAAGTAGATTACCTAACAACATAGGAAACTAAAAACCTTTTATTTCCCAAAACCATAGTTATATTCTCTTTGTTTTTATCTTTAATATTATTAATCTTCTAAAATATTTTTTTCTTTATTGATTTTAGAAAGAGAGGAAGAGAGAGGGAGAGAGAGATGAAACATCGATGAGAGAGAATATCAGTTGGCTGCCTCCTGCAGGCCCCCCACCGGGGATCTGGGCCCACAGCCTGGGCATGTGCCCTGACCGGGAATTGAACCATCAACCTCTTGGTGCATGGGTCGACGCTCAACCACTGGGCCACACCGACTGTGCTCTTCTAAAAATTTTTTAAAACCAGAAATATATTTGATGCCAGAATACTTCCAATCTCTAACAATGCTTTATAATTTGCTATACATTTTTCTAATTTTCTGTCTTTTAATTTTAGTGCAGAGATTCTCTCAAGTACCAACAACTTACAATAAGATTGACATAATGGTTAAAAACTTCAGTTCACATATGTCGTTATTTTTAAATTATTAACTTAAACATGAACATATCATGGGAACACTTACACTTGTATTGTGTTTTTCCAATTTGTTTTAAGAGAAAATTCAAGATAAAAAAAAACCCCACAAATTTTAACTAATAAAAACAGAGGTTTGTGACTATTACTGTCTCTAGAAAACTGGTCACATCTATTGGCCCCCGGACATAATAAGGACAGATAAAGGCAGATTTCAGCTATCAGAACCTCCCAGAAAACCACAACTTATTGTTATTCATACCAATTTTCTCTTTTGAGCGACACACATAAAATTGAATTTGTTAGAGATAAGCTTATTCCCCTTTAAAAACTGTGTTAAATTATAATATATACCATAATCGTTTCGAGTCTATTAACATGAAATGAATGAAGGAACTGTGACATCAAAGACTACCCCAGGATGACAAATATTAATTTTAGATATTCTTACATTAATAACTTTTGCTACTTTTGCTTTGACTAAAATAAAAAAGAAGGTATAAAATAGTCTAATTTTTTATATTCTGAATAAAATATTATTTTTCTGTGCTTTTATCATTTTGAAACATGCTTCACTACCTCCATATTCCGGGAATTCAAAGATAACCTTGATTCTTTCCTTTTTATGAATCTTATACATGGTTTTTACTTGAAGGTAGTGAATTTCTTGATAAAATATTTTGGTGAAGTATTTTTACCCTGAAATTTTTCAAAGGAAAGTTCATTTTCTTAAGTTTTTATTTAATGTATCTTTATTGTTGAAAGTGTTTGATATAGAACCCAAACTACAATCTGTTGGATCAAGACCAATATATTACCCAGTTGATTTAGAAGGTGTATGGATGAGCAGAGGGTGTATGGCCCTAATCTCCAGCATAAACAGAGTTTAGGCAGTAACACAAAACTAATCATTTCAAAGGTTGGTAATATTAATTAGATGTCAGCAGACATTTTCAGAAGAAAATGGTCCATGTTTTTCCTAAGAGTATTTTAGACTATGAGGAGCAAATATAAGGTACTCAAAAAAAGTTTTTTATATTTTCTTGCTAATATTGTCTGTTTCCTACTTAACCAGGGAATTACTAGTGTTCTTCTGTAATGATTTGTTCCCTGAAAGATGAAAATGCAACTACTGAGACTGTCAAATGGCAAAAGCAGTAGAGGAAGGTCATCTACACCCAACATCAGAGAGCTCTGTGGGGACCACTTAGAAGCAGGTTCCCCCAAGTTGCCACTCGATAGCTGGCATCTGAGAGCAGTTCTGACTCTGCCCAATATTCTCAACTTTAAAGTGTTAAGTCTTAGTTATGGTAGTATTTAAAATACCTACCTATGAACTGTTTTTGTAATTGGAGAAACTATGCTAACTCAATTCTTCCTAAAATGGGTCACATGGATGACACCTTAGGAACAGATTAAAATTCGAAGGAACCTTATGCTACAACCTGCAGTAGTTTAGAGAAGGGAAAAAGAAATTATTTACAGGGGAAAGGAGGAAGGATTAAATATGGAGGAAAAGAGACACGTAGAGAGAGAGGAAGAAAAGAAGAAATAAAGAAGAGAAAAGTGGAAGAAATAAGAGAAAAGTGGACACAAGAAAAATAATGGGTCATATTTGAAGATAGATACAATTACTCAACATATTATGTTATATTAATATCCAACTCTATTTCAATTTTTTAAAATAAATTATAGAGATTTTTCAAGTCTGTACCAGTAATAAAATTAATTTCCTTCTTCTTTCCTAGATGGTTTTGTCCTTCGGAGTTACTTGGTGGACAAGTAAGTTCATATTCTTCTATTATACTTGTAAAGAATCTTACGCTTTGCTTTAAGAAAGATTCCCAATACCATTTAAATTATATAATCTACTGAACAATCAAAACTAAATTTTAGAACAAAATGCTGTGCCAATGTCAGTACCCATAACAAAGTTACAGTTTCCACAAAGTGTGACTTTAAATAGACAAGAAGCCCTTCTCGTTCATCATTATACAGTTCACGGTCTCATATATTCTTTGGAGACAGACATTGCAAACCTCAGAGACAAACAGGTCAAAGCCACTAACGCTTTCATTAATACTTCGCATTTCACTTGCTGATTAATGCAATTGGTTGAGTTGAATTAATCAGGGACCAATTATTGTCTACACAGTAGGCGCTAATATCATCTATTAGCAGTTTATGGTTTGGCCCTTAATTGGGGTCTTTTCTTTACTCATACCAGACAGAGTAGAGTATTAAGTTGTCTTTTTTGGAGGCATGCCAGGAAAAAGATAGCAGTCAATGATCCTTCTATTCTTATGAATGAGACGTTGTCACAGTCTGGTAGCAGTGTGCGGCTGGAGTCCCCCAAACATTCTAAGATTCTGTTCCAAGTAAACCAGTGCAAGAAACGAATTCCATTATCGGGTTAGGCCATATTCCAATACAAAGATTTACAGAATTCAGCATAATAAAAAATTCAAGGAAGATTCACAGACTGTATTCATAAACAACCTGACAGCAATCAGAAAGAGACAAATCAGTGGTGAGCGCTCTGCTGCAAACTAGTATAGAGTCAAGAGAAAAAGAATTATAAGAATTTTCTTTTCTTCGGAGCATTACTCACAGCACTGGCGTGGGACTTCTCGATAGGTTTTATTCTACTACACATATAAGGTTCAGGGAAAGAATGTGTTGTAAATAATAGGACATCTTCCCCAGTGACTATTAAGGATGATTAAGAGAATTTAGAGCCCCAGCTGGTTTGGCTCAGTGGTTAGAGTGTCGGCCTGTGGACCAAGGAGTCCGGGTTCGATTCTGATCAAGGGCATGAACGTCGGTTGCGGTTTGTCCCCGGCCCTGGTTGGGTCGTGCAGGAGGCAACCAGTTGATGTCACATCAGTGTTTCTCTCTCTCTCCCTCCCTGCCACTCTATCTGATGATAAATGTAAAAATATCCTCAGATGAGGATAAACAAAAAAAAGAGAGAGAGAGAGAATTTAGAAAGTATACTCTCTGAGTAATTTTTGGTTTAGCACCTATTGAAGTGAATACTTCATGAATTTTTTAAACAAATAATAGGGCAATCTGTCCTCTTTGCAGTTGTATCAGATTTGCATTAGCCTAACCCTCCCTGAGTCTCAGAGAAAGGATCCACGGGGAAGACAGGAACTCAGAGCATCTGCGTGTTGGCGGCAGTCTGAAGGGCTTGCTGCTGCTTCATGATCACAGCTCAGAGCTAGTCAAGGAACCAAATGTGGGTCTGGTCTACGTGACAGTCATCTTACATTTCTGGACTTTGAAACTGTATCCTAGCTTTCAAGGCTATATTAATATTTATCCTACCTTCTATTTTAATTTCATGTATATCATTTTCTCCTCCATTAGATTATAAGCTTCCTGAAATCAAAGTTACGTTTTACTTGTATCTGTATCTCCTGGTACATAGGAGGCACTCGGTCTGTGTATAGAATAGAATACTTTGCAAAGATTCAGGGTCAGGTAAAACTTAAAATGTGTAAAAATAGCCAGAACTATGATCATGGATGCTGCCTATCCCCATAAATACTTTTAGAATGATATAACCTAAGAATCACCCTACTAACTAGATCTTGGCTCCTTATTTTATAACTAATATTTATATATCTTATTAATATTTATAAGTTATAATTAGAAACATGCAAAAATGATGCATCCATTTCCTATGTTAAATATTATTGTATTTCATTCAACATTTGAAGTTCAAGGGTGAGTATAAATCTGATGTTAATTGATATAATCATCTGTTCCAGTTTTTTATTAGAACCTGTGACTTTTTGGATTTAGTTCAACATACCTTACCAAGCTCCGCTGTGTGCTAGCCTCACAAAAATTATGCTGGGTTAAAGATGGGTAGGGCATGGTCTGTGCTCGTTAGGCATGTTTCCGATTACTATGCCTACAACAATCAGAAATAAATGGGGTTTGTTTGTACTTTTAGAATGAAAGAGAGGATTAGATTAAGCCAATGAAGGAAGATGCACATGAGAAGTTTCTCCCCACTTACAAATGCATAGTAACCGCTCACCTGTAAATGCTTCGTGTTGTATCAAATCATATTTTAACCATTGAATCTAAATGTTCCTTTAATGTTAAGAAGATATTTTCTTTAAAATAAAATTTGTTTTCTACCGTTGCAGTGACGGAGAAATCTATGATGATATCGCTGATGGTAAGTCTCACACAGAACAGACAGTGAATCTACTGTTCTTACAAATGCTAAAAATAGCTTGCTGATTAATTAGAACCTTCTGATCTGATCAGAATTTGAATCACTTGTAAAACATTAGAAAAGGTAAATGCACTCACATAATGAAAAAAATTATTGTTGTACATGACTGTCTTTGAGCAGTATGAAAATATTTGGTGAATTCTTTATTATACCATGAATCTTAATACAAATTGCTTTTACCTCCAAAAAATATGTGTACCTGGTACTTATTTCATAACTTATAATATTCACTACTATTCCCTAAGCATTATATATTCCTAAATTATGATCGAAAGAAATTAACCTCAACTGATATGAAGCGTGTTGCTTTTTAGTCTTTTATACTTATTCTTACTGATATTTAATATTTTCAACCTCATTCAGAATGACTACCACAAGTATATTTAATTCCGTGTCAAATAAAATAAAATAATTCTGAGTCTCATTCTGATCGAGAATAAATTTATTCGTAAACTTTATTGGAATTGAATACTGAGCAATAGAAGTTAAATAAACATCTGGCCTTCCATGCGACTACTTTTTAAAAATGAAATAAACCAATTCTACTTTTTTTTTAAATTTTAAATCGGGGGCATATAAATCACCTATATTTCCAGCCTTGGAACACTCAGAGGGTATATGTTTTGCATAACCATATTTATAAATGTGTATTTTTTTCTTTCAGGTTGCATCTATGACAATGACTAGCTCCCGGCTTTGATCATTCTGCAATGTTCATTTGATGCCAATATGAGGTCTGGGTTTTACATGGCCTATGTTATTGGTTATTATAGAAAATGAATGCACAAAACTACTTATTACTATTTGTTATAAACTCTGAGTATCTTTATAAAGTTTTGACATTTGGGACTTGGAAAATCTCTGTTTAATCAACATGTTGGAAGGCTGCGTCAATGAGATGTAAGAATTATTAAATATCCCATTTCTGCCTCAGCTAAAATTATGAAGGTGCTTCCAAAAAATAATCATTTGAGAAGAAATGACTGTATTGTCTAAAGAAAAACAAGGAAGAACAATAAAGAAATATAAAAAATGAAAATTTTAAACATCACAAGAAAACAACTATTGTTTGCATCTCTATTTGTGACTATATCTTATATCCTCTATTCAAATTATCTGTCTTTATAAAGGCTGAGCTCTCTTCTCTCTTGCTGGTGGGTTAAGTGTTTTTCAAAAATTATAGTAGTAGCAAAACTTTTGTATAAAGTTTGTCCCTATTTGTTAATTGTGAATATGTGTTAATTATTTGATAGGAATGTATGCATTTTGGTATGCACACCTAAGATTAAAACTATAGATGAATCTGAAGTTATATTTTTTGCTGATTCATATGCTAGCTGTATAATTTTGTGCTCTGTTTGAAGTACTGTTGTAAGGTGAGGGGAATAGAAATTAATGAGGTTCACCCTAAAATTATGCAGAATGGAATTTGGACGTTGAAATTACCCTTTTATGGCTCATCTTTACTAGGAAGAGTTTTTAAAATGTTTTTGTTTTTCAATTACCTCTATGGAGCTTTTTTTTTTTTTTTTTTACTTTACTGTCAAGCTGGCCAGCAGAGGGAGTACAAATGAATAAATGCCAGTGTTTGTAACAGGGTGTTCCTATTGATACATCCTCTTCCCAAAGCAACCCAGCAACAAAATGTGAAGCATTTGGGTACCCAAATGCTAAGAACACTAAACTCATGATACAAAATGCAAAACCCTAACTCCCAAGAAAATAGCTTCTGAAGAGTGACCCCAGTGAATTGAAATAATTACAAATGATTATAAAGAACCTCTAAGACTTTGTATGGTTAAAGTGGGGTTTCCATTAGATGCGTTGAAATTTGAAAACAGATCATCAACTTCTGTTGCTCAATTTATACAGTCTGGACATGTGAGGCCCCCAAATGAGAAGGCCACTAATCTCAAAGATCCCTCCCAATTATGAAATATTTTGATGTCTACTTATTGATAGGAAAACCAATCTATGCTCACACAATGAATTTAATGCCAGATAAAATTACATGGGCCAGAGTAGTTTTTGTCTGTTAAATTTGATAACACATTTACATAATACACTGACAGTATATTTCCAGTTATTGTTTTTTTCTGGTTGAGAATAATATAAATTCAATAGAGTATAAGTTTTTAAAATTCCAAACTAGATCAAGAAAATATTTTAGAGTTTGGTTTATACACCAAGAAATAGATGCCCACACCTATGAAAGATTTGTGTAGTCAATAATCATATTAGCCTAAAATATTTGAAGTATTCATTTTAATATATTAAATATTATTTCTGTTATAGTTTTATGTATGGAATTTTGTCATGTAAGAAGAGTAACAAATAAATAATACCTCAGCAGATGAGTTTGCCTCCGATTTCTTCAAGAAATCGAGGCCATTGTCCTACCTGTCCTGTAACTTCATGTCACATCTGCGAGTCTTCCTCCGAGCCCTTCATCACCTCTTTTTGCTTCAGACTCAGAGGATGGGGTACCTCTTGTTCAAGACCAAACCTGCCACCAGTGCTCCTGATACTTTGCCTCCTATTTTGTGGTAGAAATTGAGATAACCAAGTGCAATTTCCTTCAACTTCCAACAATGTTCAACCTTAACTCCATATCCAAACACTAGCTTAGAGAATGAGGTGTCACTTCTCAGATCCAAAGCCACTACCCATTTCTTCCTCTCCCTGCTCTGGAGTTTTCTTCCTCCACTATTCACTCTCTTTCCCTTCCCCTTTCTCAATCTCACTACCCATTTCTTCCTCTCCCTGCTCTGGAGTTTTCTTCCTCCACTATTCACTCTCTTTCCCTTCCCCTTTCTCAATCTCCCTCCCTCTGTATCCTTTTCTTCCCTCCTTTTCTTTGTTTTTTTTTAAAATCCTCACCCAAGGATATTTCTTCATCCATCTTCAGATAGAGTGGGAAGAGGGAGAGGGAGAGAGAGGGAGAGAGAGAGAGAGAGAGAGAGAGAGAGAGAGAGAGAGAAACATCGATGTGAGAGAGACACATCTAATGGATGCCTCCTGCACAACACTGGCTGGGGCCAGGGATGAACCACAACCGAGATTCATGTCCTTGGTCGGAATCGAACCCAGGACCCTTTGGTCCAAGAGCCAGCACTCTAACCGCTGAGCCAAACCAGCCAGGGCATTCTTCCCTCCTTTTCTTCACCTTTAACTCTTCCCATTGTGCAGATTCTCTCCTCTAGGCTTACAAATATACTGAAGTCTTTCCCATTCAAAAACAGCAGGAAACCTTGCCTTGAATCCAAAACCTCTCCAACTATTTTCCTTTTCTCATCCCTTTGTCTTAAAACTGTGGGGTACATGTGGTAACCAGGAGAATATACGTCACAGATCCCCAACTACGCGGAGCCTCATCGACCAAAGACCCCAGCTTCTGCACTCTGAAATCCAACACCACACCTCCCACAGACTGCTCCTGTGTTGCCACTGACTGGGCTTGGCTGGCCTGTTCCTGAAAGGTACAGAGCCATCCGGTGGCGAGTTTGGTTTGAGGACCACCAACAGCCTTGCTAAACATTCCTTACCCTGCACAGCACTCTGAGATGCTCCTACCCAGCCATCCCTCCCTTCATGGGGGTCAGACTGGCATTGTTCTCTGATGGTTCCTCCAGCCTTCCCAGCTTCCTCCCCATCTCCTCTCACACATGTACTTTTCTCAGGGAAAACAAGAATTACGGCATTTCCACCCCATCTTGGTGGATGCTTTCCAGAGGATCCCAACCGAACAGTACAGCTGAAGAGTTTGTTTGTAAAAGTACACATCGTCCTCCTCAGATCCACTGAATCAGAATCTCCAAAGAAGGAATTTTCAAATCAATTTTTAATGAACTCTAATATGAGTTGAGTGCTTAGCCAACTAGGCATCTTCAGCCAACCAGACGAGGACCACAGGAGTAAATGCTACCATTCAGTTATCTGCCTTTAGGCCAAGTGACCTGCCTTTTGACCTCCACCTCACTTATCCCCATAGGTGGGCCACCCTGGGGAGAGCATCACCTTGTGCCAGGTAACTGAAGCCCAGAGGGACCCTGAAGGAGAAGACAGCGGCATCTGCGCACCGCACTCCCCTCCGCTGGGGGCCCAGCTGCACGCGGCCACCCACCCGCTCTTACAGGGGGTCGGCAGTCCGCGCCCACAAGTGAATGGGAAGGTCAAAAATTAAGACCGACGTTATGGACACCTCTTCTAAAAATTTACCACACTAATTAGAAACATGATACAAGAGACAGCCAGATGGGAAAAATAAAAAAGTTCTTTTTAATTTTGTTTTGAGGAATTAGTGTCTTCTAAAACAGAAAGACTTGAGCTTCTTCAAAAGCTAGTGAGAAGGATCTAGTTGAGAGCGAAAGGTGAAAACGGAAGAGAGGCGAGGGATCATCCAAGATCTAAATTTCTTGAAAAGATAGACTTACAGTGTTTTCCTAGTAATTTATTTCTTTATGCATCTATGAAAAGCCACGCATTGTACTGGACACATCATAAGGACTCAAATATTACCACTTATTATTATGACTAATTTTGAAATTCTTGCTGATGCTGCCTATATTGTCACAATTGTGCCACATATTCAAGGGTTCATTTTAGTGACTGTGGACATCATTTCTTCTGCCTCCTGCTTCAGATTACCAGCTAAGTTATGTAACCTTGAACAAGAGCCTGAACTTTGCTAAGACTCAGGATCTTCATTTATAAACCATGAAAGTACCTACTTTGAAGGGTTGTGTGTACTTAAGCATTTGGTGCAGTGTCTGACACATATTAACTATTATTATCATCACCCTGCTTGCTACTTTGCTATTACACACTTTGAAGATGTCAACGCAATGGGGTCCTATTGAGATGAGCGTGACTTGAATGGCTGTAACTTTGCTCTGAGTCCCAGTTATTTGCCAGATGATGTTTGAGAGTAATATAGAAACGCTTAAGATTAAACACAATAAAAAATTTAAAGTAATGAATAAATGCAATGTCTGCACCAGGTCCAGTTTCTACATTTGAGTATAAGGTTCCAGGGTGCCACATCATTTTTCCTTTGGTGTTTCCTGAAACTATACTGAAGGGAGACAGTCATCAAATAGATGTAGATATAGCTATATGGAGAGAGCTATACACATGCCAAGGTATATTTTGTTTACATGTTAAACACAGAGTTGTATTTTTTAGAAGAAAAAATGTGGTATATATGTATACTTTCTCAGTTTTCTTGAAGAATTTGGTCTTTCATTTTTTCTTGCTCACTTTTGATAAAGACATTGGTAGAGAAATGGTTCTTTCCTACAAGAAACACCTTATGTCAACATGATCATAAATGATAAATGGCAAATGATATGTAGCTTTGGTGTGGGCACAATAGAGAATGGTGGGGACTGTGACAAAAAGTAGAATATAAGCTCTGTGCACAGGAGTGACTGGCTAATTAAGCCTGCCATCTTCTGTGGGTCCTCCAAATCCCCCTCTCCAACCTTCTCCATTCTGCTCTATGCCCCCCAAGACCAACCTTTATGGATTGCCTGAAGAGGTTCCCTTAGCTTATAGCTTCTACTTTCATTTGGACAATAAGGAGCACTAGCAAGCCATCAGAAGGACAGGAGAGCAAGGTTTGGATATTTATTCCTCCAGCATCCTCCTTGAGGTACCTCATGAGCTGGCTGTGTCCTTCACCCAAGGTCACAGTCTGTCGGACAGGTTTCTCCACATTGTGCTATCTCTGAGCTCCTGGTCTTTTCCTGTTCCCTGTTCCTTCTGGATTTTCAACCACTCCCTGAGGTTGCTAGTTCCAGGGGACAACTCTTTATTTTATGGTTTCTCTACACACCATTTGCAAAGTTCTCAAATTTTCCAACTTGAGTGTGCTGTTTCCCATCTGGGCCCTACTGATAATATGACTCAGCTCGGATGGACTGTGGGTTCAATATTGCTATATTCTTCAATTTAAAAAAAAAAAAAAAAAGCTGATTATCAAGATTTATATATATACTTCCCATGTTTTTTTCTTTTTATGGTTGATTTCATTTTTTCTTAAATGCACTATTCAGACCAAACAAATTACCCCCAGAAGCCAGATTTGACCCAGGCGGTGAGTCTGCAATGTTGGCCATTTATAATGGGAAATTGCTCAAATGAAGCATGGGTTACTCTGTAGCTATCCAACTTGCCAATAAGGAGGAGTCTTTTTGTGTGGGTGAGTGATGACCAAGATTCGCTTAGTGTCCATGACATCCGGATTCCATTTCTGCTAGTAACACCAGTTGCCACTGAGGTCTGGGAAGAATACCGTCATGAAGACTGGGGCTGTGGCACACGTTCTGCAGGGTCTGATACGTGGCAAATGCCATGGCCTGGAACCAAGCAGAAGTTTAAAGTCAATATGTGGTTTGGCAAGTGCCCAACTGAGGACGATATTCAGTAGCTAATATAGGCTCTTTGTGGCCAGGTTCTTGTTAGCAAAGGAGAGCAAAGAAACACCTTCTAAGACCACCAATGTTGGTCCTCTTGTCTCAGTTCTTAGAGAAAGATCTTTGAAATACTGTAATATTTTTCAAAAACTTTTAAGTTGATAGAGTTTTATTCAAGCATGTAAGCGATCTCTTTCCTTCAAATTCGTGACCTAACCCATGTCAACAGACACCAAAGCTTGACTCTCCATCACATTTCTAGCAGCTGTTCTGATATGTTTAAGTTCTAATGAAATTTAGGTTATTGTACTTTAGCTAATATGCTTTGCTTCTCAGAGCTTCACCCTCAGTGGTAGAAGCTGTGTTAAGACCAGCTCTGAAATGCTGTTGCCACCTACATGCCTCAGGGGACAGAGTTGTTTGGTTTCTCTTCCATCACACAGATCTAAGAGAGGTCCACCGAGCTACGATGGTTACTCACCTCTAAGAACTGAATGAATGTACGGGACTAGAAACCAAAGCCACCAACTATTCAAGGGCAGGTCAAGGTTTTTACGCATTCATCCAGAAGAGAAACAACACAAACATCCTTCCTCTTCCTAAGACAGCTGTAGAAGTAGACAGACTAGGCAGGTTCCTTAGGCTGGGTTCCCTAGAAGTGGAGCTTGAGACTGGAATTCCTGTGTGAGGGATTTGTTGAGGGGTTTCCCAGGAGAGACTTGTTGGGAGTGAGGAAGTAGGGTAGCTCGGGATAGTTGGGGAAAGATGTGGGTCCTGCTGCACCCAGGCTCAGCCTGATTCTGAAAGGAAACACTGAAGCAGGAATGGCTTCATTGAGTCATGGTACCGTGAGGCAAGGGAGCTGGGCTCTACTCCCCTCCCCCAGGCAGCCATTGTCACCAAAGGCTTCCTCCTCCTCCCACCTGCATCTCCAATGCTAGGCGTCTCTGACCATCACTGCTCCTTTGGTCTGAGGATGATCCTTTGGTACAACTGTGAGCTCTAGCAGCCAATTCTTACAGCAGCTGAGGAATGGGTGCTTTTGCCAGTGGGATAGATCAGAAGTCAAGTTTCAGCAGAAATAGTGGTTCTCACATCCAACAGGAAGAAACATAAGTTGTATGATTCAAACCCTACCACTGGCCCTCCTCACATCGTAAGGGGTTGTGCCTGCCTGTCAGGGTCCTGTCAGCATCCTGCATCATTTCAGCTGCTACATCATGTAAGTAACCAAGTTTATATTGGGTATGTAAGTTGAGAGGCAGTTGAAAGGTGAATGTTTACTATGAGCCTATTTATTCTTATTCTATGTTTTTTACTCATTTACTCATGCAGTACTTAA